AAAGGGCTTAATGTGCTTTATACGTCACAGCCGCCCGACAGCATCACATTCGGGGATGAACGAGTTCGCCCATGGTCGTGCATTATGTTCACAACGTGAGATGATGGAAATAATGTATGAAAAACATTTCTTTATTATTTTAGTTTCGATCATGCAGAGAATCTTAGAAATTTTATCTTTGCAATCAATCGTTTAGACAATTCTAAGACACTTTTCTTCTGTGACGTTTCCCTCACAAATGACTTATATATGTCAGTTAGGAGGTTAGGTTAGGTCCATTGCGAAGAAAACGTCATAAAACAAAAGTGTCTTAGAATTGTCTAAACGATTGATTGCAAAGATAAAATTTCTAAGATTCCTCTGTTGTCTGAAAGTAAAACTTTAACAACATTTCTTGCCAAATTTTATTGTTTGAGTAAGAAAGGGTATTTTTATAATTTCAGTCATGCAGCCAAATTTAGGATTTTAAGTTTTGGTTAGGTTAGGTTAGGTTTGGTTAGGTTGGGTTAGGTTGAATTATGTTTTTACGATGGTTTTTTATGTGTTTTGAACGATTCTGACCTAATTCCAAATAGGTGCATCCAAAACGATAATTTTACCTTAGGAAACATTTATCTTCTATTCATAAATTTTCTCAAGTAACTTGTTAATGTGTGTGCCCCTCAGTCTTTACCACTGATAAGACCAGTGTTTTATAGGAATAACTCAAATACTGATTGGTCCTTATTCAAATATGGAATCTAAAAACTAATAAAATATAGGAGAGTGTAGTGGATACACTCCCCTACAACTGCCATTTTGTCGCTGACCAGCCGACCCTACCGCTCACTTCCGGCGGACTCGTATAAATACCCCCAGCCTCGCCGTGAAAGTCATTCTACTCAACGCTCTCATACAGACAAGACCTCCTCTCAACAAGCTCCTCACCACACAGCAACTCCCTAACACTGTATTGTACACATAACATATACGTATATAGAAAACGCCAGTGTGAGTTTCATTTCCCACCTCCATCCTCAGTGAGAGATCTACACAGCCTACGCTACAAGTGACTTTTCAGTGAATAACCGCAGCAACTCTCTCATTGTCAATTAAGTTACAATATTTTCCATAATAAGAAATTAAGTCCAGTACCTTCCACAATCAATAATATTTTATGAATTACTGTAATGTATTGGTCTGAAAATAAATCCCATTGTCCATCACTGAGAAACTTTAGCATCTCAAGAACCTCAAGTAATACTGTACTTTAATAGGAATATTACTTAATATATGACATTTCACTTCATAAATTGGAAAGTTAAACCAACACGGACACGCCCCCCTACACTCACGTTACAAGTTAAGTTTACAGTCTGGCCGGACACACAGTACCTTTACACAAGCAAAAACCCATCTGGCCAGTAAATTGCTTGTATCATGTTAAAAAAAAAATTGGCATAAGCACACCCCACTCTGTAAAGATATATTTGTCTAGTGTGTTTGTGTGTTTAGACCGAATATGACCTTCATTTCTGGCGGAAATTGGCCGGGTTTTTTTATCGATTTTTTTTGTGGGATGTTTTCTGAAAAAATAATGGCTAAGCGAATAAAAATTACACCAAAAAACACTAGAAAAACAAAAACCAAACCTAACCTAACCTAACTGACTCTCACCATATGATGGAATCACCTATTTCTTACCTTATTGGCCTGGTTCTTGTTCATCGTTGGATTCTGGGATTCTTACCCAACGTCACATATGTTGGTCTTGGAGATATTTACATTGTCTTGCTCTTAGTACACTTTACTGAGGAACACCATGTGATCGAAAAAATGCTATAGTTTCTACGTTTTTTTCCCAAAAACTCGCAATCAGCTCCATATAATTTAAGTGACACCCGTCGCAGACTTCCATGGTCGGAACTGAACTTGAATTTCGAAATATGAGACCCAAAATAAAACTCGAATTTGATTGGGTCAAAAATACCGCAAATTATATAAAAAATAATTTTAATTGGTTGCAAAAAAAAAAGCTTTTGATTGGCCGCGTGACGTGTACGGGGATGGTTTATGAAGGAGAGACACAGTGTTGGAGGTGAGGCAGGCGATAATGGAGGAAGATTAATGGAAGAAAACAGAGAAAATTTGGATACGCTATCTCCGTTATTATACATTTCCGACGGTAATGTAATAGATGAAAAGTATCTTATAATTAGACGTCTTATTAGAATACGATAATAGATTAGTGGTAGGAATGTGGTGCGGTGTGTAAACGCAATAATACCCAAAAAAACTGCACGCCGTCTGGTAATTATATAGGACTAACCCACAAGACGAGACTCCTCTCTCGAGCGCTGCCTCATTACCGCTGGCAAGACACGCAAGACAAACTAGTGTGGGCCTAGGCTCCTAATTATCCATGAAACGAAAAATTTGCACAAGAAATTATTATCATATCACAACTGACTGATGAAAATAATGTAAGAAAATAAATAGTAATAAAAATAACTCGCTCGCGGGTCAGTCATATACATTAACCCGCAGTTTTAATTATTAAGACAAAAATAAACGACTGTCTTTCAACGAGAAGACATATATTGCCCTGGAAACATTAGTCACATACTGTACTGTACACCCATAGTGTCAGTCATCAGTACAGACTAAGTGATGTTGTTAAGACTGTAAACACACTATATAGTCGTAACAACTTCACTTCAACGCCATATAAATTGACAAATCAGCATGAAACTACTAACTTTGTTGGTTCTCCATGTTTAGTGGTTACTGCAGGACTGTTACAGCAGCTGAGGGTGAGTGTTGTGTGGCTCCTGGGCTGAGGGTGAGTGTTGTGTGGCTCCTGGGCTCACGGTGTACGACGACTCCACGGCCAACACTCGCGCCATTTCACGGCCAAATCTCATGCCAAATCTTTTTGGATGGGAAGCACAATTCTATTTTTGCAATCCACAAAAAAAATAAAAGTCTCCCCACATATCCACTTAAGATGTCGCAATAAAACCAAATTTTCACTTGGAATCGACAGCCCAATAATGATAAACATAATATCTGTCATCTACAGTGAAGGCTTGAATGTCATGTACACTAATACTGACACGTTCCTTGATAAGAGAGAGGAGTTTGAAACACTACCAGATATTGTAGGAGTTGTAGAACTGTTGTACAAGAACAGGAGAATCGACCCAGAGGAATGTGAATTCAGTATTGCTGGATATGACTCATTTACGAACCTAACTCAAGAATCCTGCAGGAGGGGTGGTTATCTACGCCAGGAGACTTAGAGCCAGCCAGGCGAGGTACAGGAGATTGAAGAGTTCAAAATGAAATTAAAGGAGGGGACTTACTTATCGTCGGTGTATCTACAGATCCCCAAACCAGGCCCACTAAATCAAAGGAACTTAAGAACCTTAATAGACAATGCGGCGATGCTCAACCCTACCCAACCTATTTATCATGACTTAACTATGGCGACATCGACTGGAGAAACAGAGTCCAACCCCGAATGACTTGAATAACCCTGCTACTTTTTTTGTAGAACTTGAGAGATAATTTCTGTTCCAAAGAAGAGACCCGACACATTACAGAGGGCAAACACCTCCAAGCCACTTGACCTCATCATAACAAACGAGGAGGGTATGGTGGCCAAATCCAAGTAACCTGCCCCAGTTGGCACCAGTCACCTGCCAGTCATTCAGATTTAACTGTTACCTAGTCAAGATAAGGCCGCCAAGGTGCAAAAATATTAAAAGGAAATTGCAATGGGATGAGGAAGAGATAAGGGTATCAAACGGCCTGACTTATTAAGGCACAAGAACGCAGACACTACGCTGAATATCTCATAACTAGTAAAATGACCCATTTGATCGATAAACCCAAGACCAAACCCAGTGCTTTAGGAATACGAGGAGTCCTACATGAACCACTGCGGCGGTCGACAAATTAAAGAAACCCAGAAATTCAAGACGTGGGCTTGGGTCAAACAATGAGCAAGACAGGAGGATGTATGCAAGAGCCAGAAACCACAAAAGATAGAGTGTAGGAGGGCTGAAAAGGAGTTCCAGAGGCTGGCTGTACGCGAGGCAGTCAAACCAACAGGCGCAATGCCAGAAAGTCGAACCATTGCCCGGCAGGAGTAACAGACCTGAGGCGCAAGAGCAGAAGCTTACGCAGATTCTGACCAGGATAAAGCTGAGGCATTGAACAGCTTCTTTCCTCAATGTTCACAAGAGGATAACCAACCTTCCCGTTTGAGGACAGACGGTCTGGACACAGCACTGACCCACATTGTGTTCACAGTAAAAGGAGGGTGGTTGTAGCCAAACTGTCTAGGCTAAAGGTCCATAAGACGGACCTGAGCAGGTGCATCCTGAGGCTACAAGAGAGTTGTGCAACGACGGTTGAGCCCCTCTGGAAGAATGTCCTGTTTTGTAAATGCCCCTGGATGAAATAAAATGGCCCCAGTGAACAGTGCCTATGGAGTCCTAGGTATCTTCAAGAAGGCGATAGTCACCCCACGAACATCTATAGACAGGTGAGCCTGACCAGCATAATTATGTAAAGTACTCTGAGCTATTATCAGAGATGCCGCGATGGAACATCTAATACATGAACAACCTTGTGTGATTCTAACACGGTTTTATGCCAGGGCGTTCTTGTTAACACAATTGCCTGGCTGCATTGATATTTGGACCCGCGCCTGGAACGGTAATATCGACAATATTTAACGCAGATTTTGCCATTGACAGTGCACCCACGAAAGTACAAAAATCAAACTGGAAGGCACGGACTCAAAGGGAAATGTCCCAGCGGATAGAAGACTTTCTACATGAATCGCGCGGCGGTGATGAAGGCACGAAATCGTCATCTGTACCGGTGTCATGGGGGTAACCACAGGGCAAAATAGCCTGCCGGTTGTTTGTTTGTTTATAAATGACATGCCTGATGTTGTACACTCCATAAGGCCACGGTTGATGATGGTGTTACTGGGAAAGTTCGCAACCATGGACTGTAGAGCCAGTAGCGACTCTGTGGGCTCCAGGAGATGGCTTGTAGTTAAAGACAAGCGATTAAATGTGTCACGAAGTGTAAGAGGAGCACCAAGGAAATAACGGTAAGGAGGCGTATCATAAGTGTCCTTAAATTCTAAGGAAGAAACTAAAATTATTTTTGGAGACTGTGTGAGAAGGACCTAGTGTGTTGACAATGAGCCGGAAGTTCTGCTGCCAGAGAAGAAGGTAAATCAGGCACAAATTATTCAAGGTCGTTTAGATAAAATTAGACGGTCTGTCTCCTCGTAAAATGATCTTCTAGAGGAAGTGCTTCCTGGCCCTGGAGTACTGTCACCCCATTCAGTCCCCAGAGCAATCGTCAGATGGGTTGAAAATGTCTGGGGAAGGAGGGCTACCGGTGATTGGTGCCTGCACTTCTGGCACCAGGCCAGAGGCCGGCTCTAACCCACGCCTCGCCGTTCTGCCTCACATGTGGCATGCAACCCCTGCAGACAACAAGTTCTCTACACCGCCTGAGGGAAGGGGAGATTGTAGTGGATTCTCTCACAAAACGTTTGTCGCGAGTAGCCGACCCCAAGAATTCTAGTAAAAGCTCAGAGGCTCTAGTCAACCAGAAGCGCCAGTTTCATGACGGAGGTCAACCATTAAGCCACGCCTACCTGCCATATAAGACCTGACCAGATTCCACTTTCTACCCAAGGCCAGCCTCAGCAACTGGCCCTACCCCCACTCCCTGGGCTTACAGGTCCCTGCCCCTGCTGGAGAGCATGGCGACCCAGGCTGTCCCTCCTGAGCATCCTCACCAACCAGTTTCTATCACGCTTGTAACCACAAGGCTTCCCAGCACTTCACTGTACATCCATCACAACATGGCTACAGAGAGCTACACAGAGCTTCCTTTCCCATCCCATCCTGAGTGTGAACCAAACATCCATACCACAGGTATATATATATATATATATATATATATATATATATATATATATATATATATATATATATATATATATATATGTGTGTGTGTGTGTTTAATTAAACCAGTTATTATATTAGTCCTGTGTGTGGGATACAGGGCCAGTGGCTGAGGTTGCCACCTCACCCACCTGCCTCAGTGTAAAATGTTAGACCTGTTGTAAGGCCCAGGACACTGGCTAATAGCCCATGTTAATATCCATGCCAGTAGATATAAACAACCTTGCAGATGGCTGGGCTGAACTCGAAAAGTGATCCAGGTTACAGGCGGAAGTTGAAGAATGACATAGAAAGTATGACAACACTGACAGGTGGTGGGCTCACACCATCAGTGGCATCAGGTCAGTAAGTGCTCTGCAGCTGAAATGGCCTTGTTTTATATTTTCGGTAAAGTGCAGTAGTTTAGCTGGCCACCCGAAGGGTTTGTAGAAATCACACATTTTGCACACACTATACATAAGTTAATAAACAAAACGGAAACGACAATAGTATCCTGATTCCAACAGCACCTATAGGTTGTGCTGGTGAAAGTCAGGTTTTATTGTTAGACTAACAAAGTTAACAACTTAACTTAATATTATGTTGATATACATCACCACAGTGGTGAGGAGGGAATGAGGTGGAAGCGTTCACCATCATTTATGGAAACGTTTCTTGAAGAGATTCTAGGAAACAACAAAAATGGCGCTTTAGAGGAGAATAGTGAAGGGATAGAAAGTAACAAAAAATAAAATAATTAAAATTATGCCTAGTAAAATTTGTCATTTTAATAAAATTTAAAATCATCAAAATAATAAGTATGCCAAAAAATAAAGACAAATCAACAAACTCTTCTGGAAATGGAACTTAAACTACACCTTACTATTTATTTAATTGCTTAAATAAATACAAAGAAGGGTATGTTTATATAATATAGAACCCCAGGCGATATCTCGCATGTGTTAAAATATATTATTTCTAAATTAAACGTAACTTAACCTTAAAAAACAGATTCAGCTAAACAAACCTAACATATTTATTTCAAATTTGGGGGATGATAGCGCTCTGAAACAACAGTGGAGATCGTTCATTTTTACAAAGTGTAATTGCAATATTGAGTTTTGTTACTGTCATTGAATTTAACCAAGTTTGTGCCCTATTCAGAGATGTCGCACAGAATCCCATGCCAGATAGAAGGCGAAGTGACATTGCCTAGAAACAGATCAGTTTCTGAGAGTTAGGAGGAAAGAAATGTGAGGAAGAGTAAGAGCAGTTTATTGAGGAATCTAAAGAAAATACAGTCCAGCCCACACCTGAATGGAAATGAAATGCTAACATATACTGCACTGTTTATAGGGTTGTTCACTTCGCTGCTGGAGGACATGGGAGGCGAGTTCAGGTTGAGAGATATACTAATTCTCCAGAAATCTGACTACAAAGTATATGTATTTTGCTATTTCTTCAGGTAAAGTAATGTTAAATTGTTGTCGAGTTTAGTAGGTACATACAGTTAGCAGTTATTTAGTTACATTGGCCCTACCAGTATAGTGCTGTTATCCATATAATATTTGCTAGAAATTGAAGACGGTTTATTCATCATTGCTACAGAAATAAACCTTCCATTTTTTTTTCCAGAGTAAATTTAGAGCTATTGCCTGGTGGAGAGAGAGAGAGAGAGAGAGAGAGATTGATTTTCTTTATTGACATGAGGTTGCAAGGATCCTGTAGGTCTGTCCTTCCTCATCAAAATAAAGATAATGACAGAAAATAATTTTAAATCCATTACAGTATATGGCCAACTTATTTGTACCCACTAATATTAATAGCAACGCTTGGGCCAAAAATAATTGTAATTAAAATCATCTGCCTCTAACCCAACTCCTGGTTCCAGGATGCCAGGCCCATGTGGATACACCGCAGGGTTGATCCACGGGCTCCATATTTCATTACAGTATTAGGAAAGTCTTTGTGAGGATAAAGTCTCATTACCAGGCAATAATTTTATATTGAATATGTCAAAAATAACTCATTCACACTAAAGACATGGAACAACTATATAGGCAGCCCAATCTGGATTCTGCAGTTAAGAGTCATCCAGCAACAATGTCATATATTTCTTAATACAGAGAGCGCTCTCGCCAATGCGCCCCGGTTACATTCCTAAACCACGACATAATGGGAAAACGGTTGCTTTGATAAATTTCCCCATAAGAAAGGAGGCAACAGGAGTTGGTGTCCCCAGCCTCCCTTGACCCATGGAATATTACATATGTACAGAAACACAACGTTTCTGAGTAGAAAATAGTTTTATAAACCATGGTACTAAAGTTTGTAAAATAGGGTATTGGTACTCTAATGGAAGTGAGGTATGGGTCCATTCTATGCTTCTGAATTATAGCCGCTATCAGCACAGTCTTTCTAAGGAAATTTGAAATGAATTACATTATACTATTATTATTTCAGTTTACAGAAGACATATGAGATGAAAGCACTATAGTACTGTAATTAATTTTCTGCATGGATAGAAGAGAGGCAGATCCCAGGCTGAAAAGTCGTAGAGAATCCAAGACACTATGTTCAAAGGATGAAAATGTGTCATCAATATATGCCCAAAATGCTAGAACGAGGAAAGATTAGACTATATGAGCCCCACGTGACAGCTAAAGATCTCTTACTGATACCCGCAGCACAAATAAAACACAAGCACCATTAACATGATGGCTGCCATTGAATGGTTAAAGAACTACAGAAACCTGAACTTTTTTGGTATGACTTTATCAGCAGATTTGTGTTAAAGAGTATCCTCTGCTACTGTATGAGCAACTTAAGTAATCACCCTTATCAGTCTTGACAATTTCACCCTGCATCTTCATCATACCCTTTGTTATGATCCAATTTATTTACAAAGAATTTAATATTTGTGATTGTCTTTTTCTTAAGGATATGTAAACAGGTTTTGGGTATATTTATATGTTACTGCACTGGATGTTACCTGTGTTTTGCATCACATACTGTACAGTACAGTATATCTGCATAGGCACCCTCATTTATGGCGTTCCATTCCTGAAAAACTCCACTAATTGGATCACGGTTCAGACTTAATAGTATATCACTGTGGTAGTTGACCTAATTTCTAGAAAGAAAAACTCCAAAATGGCTTTTGGGGTACCCTACATATATAGGCCTTTTAATTTATAATAGATGTTCAACAGTAAGTCACTGTATTGCATGTACATTAGAGTTCAAATAATATACCAGCCTCGTATAAATAATTTAGAGATGTTTATTTTTAACTGGTTTTATTTTCATTTATGTTTTTATTTGTTAAAGAATGATGTACTTATCTATTTAAAATATCTTAAGTCACTGTCTTTGGGTAATTGCTTCAGAAAACAAATCAGTAACAATGATAACTAAAAGTATTAGATATATAAATTGTGTTTAGTACAGTACAGGTACTACAGTACTTTATTTAGCCATAGAAGTTATTCTTATTATAGCAAACATGTTATATTGTAGTAAAATTTTTTCTTATAGAACCGACCAAATTCCAGTATAGGAAGCCCTTTGATGCTCAGTCAGCACCGGTGTTGTTATGTTTAAAGACAAAAACTAAACACTGACGGTTCCGCCACCCGAACTTAAATTCGCAAATTGAAACCGTCTGTATAAAATGACCTAAATAGCTAAAATCATCTTTTCAAAGTGATGCTGTCAACTTAATTACTTACTGTAGCTCATTGTCTGTAGCCATAGTTTGTTAAGAATAGTCTTGTAGTGTCCAACAAATAAATTAACAGCACAGCATATCATTCAGTATCTTGACAAAAATGTTGGGAAACTTTAGGCCTCAGTACAGGACCATTTAAAATTTTACGTATACAGTAAAAGTTCATGGATCCTGTACCCTGCATCAGTGTCACACCATAATGAAACAAACCATTGGTATCTAATCTTCACAAGTAAAAACATAATAAAGTGGTTATCCGGCAGGACTGCAGCAAATACTCATTATTCTTTGATTTGATCGGCTGTTGATGTCGGCAGCGAAATGCTGACCTTACATATAACCCTGGATGGTGTCCTAAAACAACAAGGCATGTTTTTGCGCCTGTATTAGGTGTTTACAGCATGTAATATCTGTCACTTTCAGGCGATAACTTATGATATTGTACTGTACTGACAGATGGTGCCCAACAGCTGTGCTACCACTTCTGGTGTCTGTTCTTTCACTCATGTTCTCAAACACTGATCTAGGCTCAATTCCTTTCCGCCCAAAACACAAGGACAAATTGGAATGAACCCAGAGAATAAGGTACACATTACTGGTATTTTATTACGTACCATTTCCAAAGTATTAATGGTGTGCTTGTAAAACATCACGAATTTAATATTCCTGCTTATTGTAGCTTGTGCGTAAGTATTCTTAGGTTTGAATCAAGTTGCATTGTAATGGTTATTGGTTTTATTTTGTCATTCCCCAAATAATTTTTCCAGATGACCACAAGAAACTTAGGTACGGTATTGAAAGGATTACAATTGAGTGCTAACAAAGAGGTTTCGGATGTTTGTCATGATTTCATATCAAACCAAAGGAGATACAATTGTTCATGTTTCCTACATGGGATGCCAGATTCCAGGGTGAGTCCCAGGTGCCAGAGGAAAGGGATTTTAAACCACTCCATAAGAACTTGTCTTATAGTTTTTAGAAGCCCAAGATGCCAAACATGTTGTCACAGCCTGCTGACAATTGTTGTCCATTATTTTTAGGATTATAGATAAATGCCAGAATAAAAATCCTGGTATTCAATGCCAGTAAGTGTAAAGAATTATATGAGGTTAAGTTCTTCTGGCTATTATATTTAGTTGATCATCATCATCATATGCTATTAACAATTTGTGTATAAATTCTGCTTCAGTACAGCAACTGATCTGACCCGTAATCCGATTTTAAAGATCTAGACGTAAAATTGGGTTCAGTCAGAAGTTCTCACAGTTATCTCCGTTAAACAAAGAATGAGCTTGAAATCGTATAATTGGTTACGAGCGTCACCAGTTTGTAACTTCTCCCGTTTTATTTCACCGATTTATTGTTATTATTGGTGCTGATATATTGGCATTAAAAGTGACAATCATGGCATTGCAGCCAGGTTAGTCGACTATTATAATCCGCTTGTGGCCACTGGGTCAAAGCCAGAAAAGAGAAGTACAGTGAAGACAACCCATTTATAGATATAAAACTTATTTGTACTATTACATGCACAACATCCACACATAGAAAATAACACCATCCCAAGGAACCCATAATGAGAGAGCTGAAAGGGTAGGAGCACTGGCGTCCAGCCAGGTTCGGCATTGAATGTGAGCCAGGATCTGCAAAAATGAAGTAATCGTGTTTAAACTTTCATTTATTGTTATTACTGAATAAAATGTATAAGTATTTTTGTTGTAACTTATTTATTGTATAATATTTTTACTATTCTTCAATATTTACTAAAGTTGCAATATTTTAAGAAAATCAGACAGCACAGTAGAGGAAACACAATACGTGTTTAAATATCACTAAATTATTCAGAGAGGCCAAAAAATGTCAGGCAGTTTTTAAAAGAGAACATATGTATCATTTTATGCATTTTAACATTATCAGAGGATCCTGGGAGCAGGGTTCTCTTTTAGTCCTCGGATCTTTTCAGCCTGGCTAGTTGGTAAGAGTTTAAATGCCATGATGTTGTAAAAGTCATGAGTTCCAAGTATGAAATTCATAAACTGGCTAGCTAAATTAGAGAGGTTATAGAGGTCTATCAAGGAAACACATCAAAGTATGTAGTTGACTGTTCATTAAATTGAGTAGTTTATTGAATTTTTAGGAAAGGCTTATTTCTCAAACAGACATGGAGTGATCCTCTCCTTACTGAAGGAAGCCCACAACACATCTTCTTCACTATCACCTGACTTAATGAGATGGGGGTCTTTTAATCAAGAGATAGGACAAAAAATCATCTTCATTTCACTTTGATTTTCTCTCCATCATTCCACACAATGATTTATGTTCTACAGGGTTACGACAGGCACACCAGAGCTGGCAACGCGACACAACCCGCAGGACGTGCTCCTCAGGCTCGGCCAAGCATCAGACAAACTCCCGGAGTGCCCACCAGCAGTCGCACGTCTAATGTGAAACTTTCATTTGTATCTATGTCTTCAGCAGCGGGGCTGGTCTTTGAACTGATGGTCATAAGCCTTTTCCACCTCGACCACGGTAAAAGGTTTATTATTTACATTCATATAGATAGACAGTGTACAGTACAGTAGCCACTAGCGAATAATCTTCGCAACTCACCTCATCGACCAATTTTTATGTATTCCTACCCCAATCTTAACTGTCATTTATTTATTATCTTTCCTGCTCTGCTTTCCTTGCTTTAAACTATTTTTTATCAGTATCATCTGCGTTAGGACCATCAGCTTTCATGCTGTATCAGTTTGTTTAATAGAAGTTCCAAAAAGCTGGTCCAAGTTGTTTCTTAGTGTTTTATGTATGCTGTTTAATCCCTTTGTTTTTTATTGCTCTTTCAGTGAACATCAGTGTTAAACACCCTGATCTAAGAATTACCCTTGCTTTTGATTAATCATATATAATATTATCATATCCAGGATTTCTTTGAATGCTTCATTTATTTATATCTTATGCCAGCAGAAGGCTGAATGATTTTGGGAGATGTGATATGTGCCAATACCAATTAGACAAGAAGGTGGTTTTTTACTTTGCCATGATATAAATTTATGTAGAAGAGTTTATGGTAAAATTTTTGAAAAAATATTACCATGATTTTGGTAATTTCAAAGGTAACAGGTATGAAAATAATAATATGTTAAAGCACTAGAAGAAATGAATGTTAGTAATGATGGGAGAGAGTGCTGAACAGGCTTTTACAAAACAGGGCTGGAAAGCCTTTGTCCACATTCCTGCAGCAGGAGGGGTTGAGCTTGGGGACCCAGCTCTGGTGATTGTAGTATTATACCATGAAGATATTAAACCGTTGAGGAGGAAGTCTTAGACAGTGCCGAAAAGGACAAGGATACTTGTACTTGTGTTCCAGGCTGAGTAGAAAAGTGAGGGAAGATGAATGTAAGTACTACATTTAAGGATTTCAGGATGGTATCTTGAGGAATATGTGGTGCAAATGATTTAAAAAGTATGAATAACCCATTTTAACTGAGACGGGAAAGATACTTCTGAAGGTATTCAAGGCAAATGCTATTAATTTGATAAAATTTAGCATTTCATTATTTGTTGAAGGAATGTTAAAGATAAGAAAGTTTACTACATGTATATCCAATAGGTCCGTGGTCGAGGGAGAAGACTGACAGAAAGTTTCGTCAGTGTCATAACCGAGAGGCCTGGAGTAGCAAATACTGTAGAGAACCATATCATTTACATCTGGTTTAATTTTAATGGCCGTACTCAAAATAACAGCCTACAGAAGAAAAAACTTGTGGCATTAAGAAGAAAACAGGTATGTATGTATAAAATTAAACTTTGTATATGTAATAATAGTTAATGAATATGTACTGTATGTCTGCATTTAATCTTTCTATAAACAGTTCAAGTTGCTTTTAATTAGACGATTTTCCTGATCGATGCTTCTAAATCCTGTTTCATCAGTGAACCATAGATAAGAAAGTCAAGACCCCTAAAACAGAAAGAGTTAACTAACTAGACATCAAATTATAACAATAATACAGCTGCACAAATATTTCTTTAAGTAGAGAGACAGAGTCATTCATATATCCAGTTGTATATATAAAGAGATTTCGTATTCCTTCATCCTGGGGCTGAGGGTGGCATAAATCTTCCAGTGAATTATGAAAGATGATACAATATTGACTTATATTTCAGAGAAACAATTTAAGGCTTCATCAGTTTGTTAGACAAAATACCCGAGGTATACAGGAAAAGAGAAGTCAAACCCATCAACACATCACGACCGGAAGATGATATTGGTAAGAGAGAATGTATGGAATCTAACACAAATATTGCCATTCCTTTAGCCAGCAAACATTTTCCAATAGTAAGTAGAATTTATAAACTTATGACATTATTGCCTCCACATATCTTTTTTCATAGCTGAAGTACAGTTTTGAGACCCAGTTGCAGAAATGCCGCATTAGATGTTAGGCGATTCATCTGTATCTGAGATGTCACAACATTCAAGTTTCTATTGTAATTGACTTCCATCTTCATGGTGGTTTGTAACTCTGCTGCTGCAAGTTTGGCTCTGAATTGCTTCTTAAACTCACCCCGTACAGAATTGTGTGGTTAGGTTGCTAAAAATACAGCATTCAAGAAATCAGTGAATTTATCCACGCCCCATTCACAGCTCATCAACTTACAGTATGAAATTCCTAACTTAGAATAGGTTCCGCTTCCTGAGGATACTTATAAGTCGGGATCCCCCTGTATTAATGAATTAGCCAGCCATCACCCTGCTCCCACAACACTACCCACCCACTATACCACCTCTCCACCATTAATGAATTTAGCCAGTCACCCACCCAATTATACCACCTCCAATTATTAGTCGAATTTGTTGAACACAATTCTGCTCCCACAACACTACCCACCCACTCTACTCACCACAATGAATTAGCCAGCCCATCACCCTGTTCAACAAACACTACACGCACCCACTTCTACCACCTTCCACCATTATTAATGAATTTGCTTAGCCCATCACCCTGCTCCCACAACACTGCCCCAACGAATTATACCACCTCCACTTATTAATGAATTAGCCAGCTCATCACCCTGCTCCCACAACACCAGCCCATCCACTATACACTACCCATTAATGAATTAGCCACCATCTGCTCCCACAACACCACCCAACGCACTCTACCACCTCTCCACCATGGTCAGCCAGTCATCACTCCCTGCTCCACAACACTACCGCACCCACACCTCTCCACCATTATTAATGAATTAGCTAGCCTATCAATTCTTGCTCCTGGCCAACACTACCCACCCACTATACTAATTCCCACCAACTTGATGCACTCCAGGCTTCTTTCCTCACTGAAGTTCTCAAACCACAAATACATCGTGGCTCACTTTGGTTTGCTGGGTCAAGAGGTTTGGAATTTGCTTATTTTCCTTAATCTAGAAATGGTAAAAATGCCTGTGGGGAAGGTGTGTGTGATGGAAAGAGGGCAAAACAGGTGATGAATTTGAATAGAAGTACCAAATGCTGGTATACAGGTGAGCAGTCCCAGGGAGTGTTGCAGGCCTTGTTGCAAAAGTCCATTCAGAAAGAGTGTCATGGCAACTGTTTCCATAACTGGGCAAAGTATTACAGTCTTCTGCAGAACTTTTCTGTTCAGTAAGTGAGTTGTCATCTCTGCCGAAACTATGACACTTATTCTTTTCTGTGCCAATTTAGACTGTATTAAATACATGCTTACTTGCTTCCCTACAGAACACTGTACAGGCACCATTATTCACCAACCTTGCATCTTTCATCACTCTTCAATTTCTTATTATGATAACTCGGTAAGGAAGCACTGAGTTTGAAGCTCATAATATTTGGATAATTCAGTTTCATTCATATATATATATATATATATATATATATATATATATATATATATATATATATATATATATCTATATCTATGTCCATATCTATATTCATGATTTGGAGTATCTGATTCATATCTATCTATTCATTCATCTATCTATCTATATTTTATCTACATTCGAGCATTCATATTCATCTATCTATGTCTATATCTATACAGTATATCATTTAACGCCGAAGTCAATTGAACCCACAGGTACCAAGGTTATAAACAAACAGAGCATGATTAATTCCAATAGAGACTCAACACTCAAACCTGACTTTTTGACTTACACAACTATGTTGTAGTAAAAATTTATCTTAATTTATGATGGTATGCACACAATTAATAATTAAGAGAAAATATCATTGGATATTAGCTTTTAACATCAGATGAGAAAGATGTCAAACACGGGATAAATAATTCCGCAGAAGGGCAGATTATTGGCCTCACCAGTATCACTTGTGTAACAATTGCAGTATCACCATCATCCCGCACTTAGAGGCTACAGTAGGCTTTTGTCAAAACCCCCAAAGTCCATAGTCTATATCTCACTATAATTATCACTATCACTGACTTCACTGCTGTGGTGGCGGTGAAGAACTCGTAATGTTTGATGACTGGGAATCTTAAGATTAAAGTTCAAGGCCTCAGATATGATGAAAAATTCCATATATATATATATATATATATATATATATATATAAGATATATATATATATATATATATATATATATATATATATATATATATATATATATATATATATATAAGGGCTATGTCATTGTTAGTTGCAATCACTTAACGCTAAGTTGGACAGAAATGAGGGTCCTGCTTATGAAACTGAAAGAAGTAGAACAAATAACATAAGGGATGTTAATTCCACAGAAACTGCCCACCCCCAACCTGCCTTGTATGTACATACCTATAGTAAAATATCTTAATTTATGATGGTAATATGCACACAATTAATACTTGCGAGAAATAGAGAAATACAGTCGCTAGTTAATGTCCATTCAAATACGGACTCACCTCCTCTCACACCACACTGCCTGCTCTTCCTCTCTGAGAAATTTTAAATAGAAAACCATCAAATTTTAATAAATAATACCTCAAACCCCAAAGCAGGATAGACATTGCTGGATTCTCAGGTCAGGGAATATTTGAATAAAATGTCATATGGTTTTAACAAAAAGATAATTATATACTAGTAGTAATTTACCAAAATTTGCAGGTTTAATGCAAAATATATGATGCTTATATTCAAAAATGATCACCAAATTATAAGAATCTATACAATGTAAATTATATTCTGAATCAGTGACTGAGTGAATGCAAGAGCTAAAACAAATATCTCTAGTTGAAGCAAAAAAAAATAATCTCAAGACACTATCTGGTCAATCAGCATTCTTAATTCAACTGCATGTCAGTCCCAACCTCCCCCACCCCCACCAATCCTTCAAGAGTTTTTAAACATTATATATTAATAATAGATATTATATTGTTGGATTCTTAAGACTGATGAAGATAAAAATGCCTAATGCAAAATATATGATGAGACCAAAATGATCATCAAATTATAAGAATTCCATAATGTAAATTATATTCAGACCGGTAATTTATTCTTTATGAGTTAAAATAAATATCTTCAGTTAATAAAAAAAAATATTCTTCACGGTAGTTAGATGGTCGTCGGTCCTCCCCCCACCCCCACCAACCAGTCTCAAGGAGAGGCGTTCAGAATTAGTTTTAATTTTGTAATAAATAATACCTCAAACCAGTTAGATATTGATAATTGACATTGCTGGATTCTCAGTGACGAATATTTGAATACAAAATGTCATATATTTTGCACAAAAGATAAATATATTACCTATAGCACTTTTTATCTAAAGTTTGTATGTCTAATGCAAAATATATGATGTTTATATTCAAATGATCACCAAATTATAAGAATTCCAGCAATGTAAATTATAATTCTGACCCAAGCACTTTGTATGAATTTTATGAGCTAAAACAGGTAAACAAAGCAGGTGGCTAGGGGCAAATCTAAAATAAAGGCCGAAGCTTGACACTCAACATGAGGGAAAAAAATCCGTATAAGTGAAAGTCTGGTTTGGCGTAAAAATGCGCGATAAAAACGCGGTTATGAAACCGTTAGGCGGTAATACTGTTATATATATATATATATATATATATATATATATATATATATATATATATATATATATATATATATATATATATATATATATATACACACACACACAGTGGTCCTTCGTTAACAATTGTTCGATGTAATTTCGTTACTGAATTAGCTCTATAAGGATTCTTTCAATTCGGTTAATCTAACAAAAACTTCAGATTAATCTAAATCCCAAGCAAACAAATACGCTTTGTTGTATAATTGTATTGATGTATTACTTCCTGCCATTGCAGTAATCTGTCTATGTTTACATTCATTTGTGAGTAAATATCGCAGTTGTATTTGAATATTTTTATTTATACCTAATTAAAAATATGTTGTAAGTAAGGGTACAATATTTTAAAATTTAGTTAATATATTGATAATATATGCAAGATAGGAACTAGTTTTGTGCACCATCAGCCACTCTGACTCCATCTGCCAAAGCCAGTTTAACTTTATATACAGTGAGGAAACATCGTTTGTCACTCCTTGAATACAAAATATTTTACGCTTATGTTACAATTATTGGTCATTCTGAAATTAAGCTAATATAAAATAATATATAGCAATGCAGCAGTTTAAAAAATAATCTTTAATTACACTAAACTTAAAAATTTATTGCGAATTACTGCATCAACATGGTCCCCAAAGGTGATTTCCCACCCCCACTTCCCCCCCCCCCCACCCCCCCCCCCTCTCCACCCCACTTCCTTCTCTTCTCCCTTCTCCTCCACCCCACTTCCTTCTCTTCTCCCTTCTCCTCCACCACACTTCCTTCTCTTCTCCCTTCTCCTCCACCACACTTCCTTCTCTTCTCCCTTCTCCTCCTCCCCCACTTCTAATTCCCATCATCATCATCAACCAGGAGCCTTCTACACATACACACCTCAAAGTAAGTGTACTTTACTGCATTTTGTTTATACTTTGTATGTACTTTTCTGTGAGCTGGAACCAATTACCCAATATCCCATTGAAACAATGGATTCGTTTAACGAATAGGAGCAGGATAGAACTCGTAGCAACTGATATAAGTTAGATAAGTTTAGGTTTAGGAGGGAGATAGGAAGGAACTGGTTCACAAATAGGGTGGTGGATGAGTGGAACAAGCTTAGCAACTTTGTAGTAAGTGCTGGAATGCTGGAAAGTCTTAAAAGGAGGCTAGATAGATTCATGGATGATAGAGAGTGGTAGTAACTCTCGACAAGAGCTGCCATGCACAGGCCAACCAGCCTATTGCAGACTCCTTATTTTCTTATGTTTAAAAAAAAAAAAAAAAAAAAAATTGCCCCACAAAAAACTCGGTTTTTAGAGCTTTTCGGAATTTCGGATAAAGGGTTGTCAACCTGTAATAACCAAATATAATAATTGCTGTCACTGGCCAGAATATTCAGCCTATGTATATTTTAACATGATTACCATTGTTGCATTAGGCTTTTGTACATTTCCTTTCTCCAGAAGAAGGGAACAACCTGTCACTCTTGGCTGTTGCGGCATCCCAAAAGCTGGAGGCTCAAGGTTATGCTGATACACCCATTAGTGAATCTCATGAGCTTACCCCTGTGTCTGGGCTACACCACACTCCCATCAAGAGGGAGCACACCACTGCGGTCAGAGTCAAATTCTTTGTTGTCCCTCAACTTTATTGACTTTGATTTGTATTGAAAGAGAGTTGTGTATAATAAACTTATTATCTTTTCCCATTTTACTACAAGCTGGCTCATAATTTAGAATAAACACAGCATTTCCTTTCACTAACTGTTAGTGCTGTCTCATTCCCTGAAGCACTTGGTACCATGCTTTCTTGTTACTGTATGTTGCTGCCTCTTACATGTCCATTTCCTTTACTTCTGATCATACTTTCCTTCTCTTTTCTTGGCCTTCCCTTCTCCTTCCTTGAACTATAAATTCTTTATACCAATCTTTCACTTTCCATATTCTCAACATATTGATACCCCTTAAGATAACCCAGGTCAGCAGAGTGTAAGTACTGGTTAATGGCAGCAGATAGTAACAAAACAGCACATCACAACAGGTGCACCCATGAGTGAATCTTTATTTATTTTTTTCATTAACTCACAAATCAGGTTCAACAAAGCCTTATTTATGCATGGATATATGATATGTGTTAAATAAATAGAGTTTAACACTCACCTGATAAGGTAGAGGAAATTCTCTGTAAAGTCTACCCAAAGTAGTGATGGCAGTATGCAGATTTAGAATTCTCCCAATTTGAAATGACACAATTAAAAATGGTAATTTATGATTTTTTTTTTTAACAAAATATGCTTAGAGGAAAAAATAAAGTAAGTTGAATTTTGACACACTGTACTGTACTGTACAGCATTTTTTTTACCATACAAGATATGCATTTTGATTGTTGGAATAGGAAAAACTCCCATTAATAGAATCCTCCCTATAACAGACATGTCTTGCGTGAATTAGTCCGGTATTCGAAGGGTTTCCTGTACTGTACTATATACCAATTATATGGTTTGTTTTGACAGTAAGATATAGGAGAAAGAATGAGTTTTCTTGATACTGTAACAGCACATGATCGCCAGTTCAAAAATCCCAAATAAAAATACATTCATTGAAAATTCCCACAGGAACAGATCCCGAGTTTCTGGAGAATTCCGTTCTTTTTTCCGTACACTTTTATCTTTTATTTGCTCTTCAGATACTCGGCATGCCCTCAGTTGGAAGCATCTCGGCCCCACCGGATTATGCCACGCCTTTGACCATAGAAACGTCGCCTGGTCCTCCGTCTACTCCCAGCACTGATACGGCCTCAGAGGCAGGAAGCGCTTTCAACTCTCCACTGGTTGGTATTTTATTGTACAAATGTTAGACTGCTTGTTATGTAATACAGTATTTGTTACTAAATTACTGAACTTTGATTTGTATATTGTGCTGTTCTAGATGTGTTGAGTGAGTGAATATTGATGGGTGGATATGTATTGGTGTATGTACTGATGGAGATAGGTACAATCAAGGGTACCGGTTATCCCCTGGGTTACAGAAGGGTTCCCTTCCTGAAGATCTTTCCGTAACGCGAAACCATTTTCCCATTGCGTGATGGATTGCGAGTGTTGAGAATTTAGCCATATGGATGATATACAGTTTTAAAGAGTAATAAAGGATAGCAGATTGTAAGAAGAATGGATAGTACTGTGTTTATATATAATTAACATGTACAGTAGAGAATGGTACAGTATTGCCCATTCTATAGACTGCAATTTTGAAGTTAGTATTTCCATTGTGAAATATTAAAAGAATTAGTAAATTAGTTAGTGACAACGAATACAGGTAGTTAATTTACATAGACATTATAGATACAGTACTCCCTCTTTATCGACGGATTTTTTATCGACGGTTTCGATTATCGACGGATTATTTAGCCGGATTTTTATTTTGGCACCAAACAGCTTCTCCCAGTCCTCTCCTTGAACAGGGCTAGAGGGTACGTGTTTTTCGAATCGTTTTCAGTTAAAAAATTATTACATCACACGTATATTTTACCTAAACTGCGCCTGAATGAATATATTCTCGGAAATAAATAGTAGTTTTGCTGAAACGTGATGTATTTCAATGTAAAATAGGATAAAATACATGACGGAAACAAAAGACTTTACCTAAGCTTCCGATGTTCTTGAGATGTTACTCGTTTTTTTAATAGTTTTCGGTTAAAATTCTGTTATATTACAATGATATTCTATTCATACTGTGCTTGATATAATACATTCACGGAAATGTAATATTTTTGCTAAAATGACGTACGTATTACAGTGGAAAGTGGGATCAAATCGTGACGAAAACAATGACTTGCGCTTTCTTTCGTTCAAAAGATGTTACCGTAATCACTTTTCGAATGGTTTAGTTAAAAAACTGTTGTATTGTATTACAATAATATCCTAATTGACTTGAATAAATATTACGATACCATATTTCTGAATATTTTCATTAAAATCCATCAAAATCATTTTCCTTGTCATCGTCTGCAGCACCAAACAGCTCCTCCCAGTCCTCTCCTTGAACAGGGCTAGAGGCTACGTGTTTTTCGAATCGTTTTCAGTTAAAAAATTATTACATCACACGTATATTTTACCTAAACTGCGCCTGAATGAATATATTCTCGGAAATAAATAGTAGTTTTGCTGAAACGTGATGTATTTCAATGTAAAATAGGATAAAATACATGTCGAAAACAAAAGACTTTACCTATGCTTCCGATGTTCTTGAGATGTTACTCGTTTTTTTAATAGTTTTCGGTTAAAATTCTGTTATATTACAATGATATTCTATTCATACTGTGCTTGATATAATACATTCACGGAAATGTAATATTTTTGTTGAAATGACGTACGTATTAAAGTGGAAAGTGGGATCAAATCGTGACGAAAACAATGACTCACTTTCTTTCGTTCAAAAGATGTTACCGTAATCACTTTTCGAATGGTTTAGTTAAAAAACTGTTGTATTACAATAATATTCCCTCCTAATTGACTTGAATAAATACTTGAATGGAAATATACAATATTTTTGTTGAAACTACCCGCGTTTCAGTGTAAAGTGTTGTAATAATAAATGGTAAACAATTTGCCTTGGGCAGCCGGATTTTTGGACTTTTACTGTACTGTACACTGTTTTGTTTACTGTAAGGACCGATGTTCACTTCAATAAATGAAATCGTAAGTTTGCTAGTATTTTTGTCCACTTATTATATTATTATTTATACACTATTATTTAAGGTTATGCGTAAAGGAAACGCATTAATGCTTAAAGGTACATTTATTCAACATATGCTAATAATAGTTAGAAAAATTACGTAACCATCACGGTATCGACGGTTTCTTTATCGACGGCCGTTTACAGAACGTAACCCCCGTCGATAAAGAGGGAGTACTGTATATGATTAAGTTACTGAGTTAGAAGTTTTGCAAGTTTTTGTTGGATAAAAATTGATAGGTTAAAGTACAGAAGAAATACTCATGTTACAAGTGGTTGTGTTAGTAGATATTTTCAAGTACTTTACAGCATTAGAAGTGGAAAGTTGTGTTGAGGTGACCGGTTGACTTGAGACCTTACAGGAGTCATTGATACGAGTATATAGTATGAGTTGGTCAGTACTGTACTGTATAACACTTCATATTTTTAAATTGTGTTTTATTAAATACTGTATAATGTTCTCTGCAGTAATACATAAAATAAATCTTAATATAAGGAGACATAAGTAAAATATATATTTTTGTACATATAAACAGGCAAGCAGTGGATCAATGCAGAGCAGTCCAACCACCAGTTGTGAATACCAGCATCTGGTTGTTGTCCGCCTGACTCCTGCTGCTCCTCCTGTTGCCCTGGTCGCTCCCTCACCCGTCACCACAGCTCTTCCTGTTACATCTACTACTAACCCAGGTTCAACTCCCACTAGTGCCCCATCAAGCTTTGCTGGTAAGTGCTTATAATACACAGTAATTTACACTTCTAATTAGAGTTTATTTAATGATAATTCAGAGACTACTACACTACGCTACGCTACACTGTACACTACAGTATTTTCAATATGAACCAACCTGATTTTAAGATACAACATGCTCTTAAAATTCGTCGAGGTTTTAGTCTCAAAATGGCTGCCAATAGCCAAATCCGCGAGTATCATTTGCTGACCCGTTGGGGGGTGGGGTTACATTTTTACTCGTGTGCAATTAAATGTATATTCCCTTTATGTGTTTGCCCTTAGGACAATTATTTCTTTTACCTGTATTGTATATATGTGTGTGTGTGTGTCACAAAACACACACAGTACAGTATAGTCTTGATTTACGCGGTCAATTGAACCCGAGGAGGTCCGCGTAAAACGAGAAACGCTTAAACGAAATAACAGAACATATGGGATTAATTGAAATAGAGACTGGGCCAACCCCCAAACTACACTTTTTCCAACACGATACCTATGTTGTAGTAAAAATAACATCTTAATTTTATGATGGTATGCATACACAATTAATATTTCAGAGAAATACAGTCGCTGGTTAATGTCCATTCAAATAATGGACTCAACTCCCACCCCCCCTCTTCCCACGCTCGCTGGGTCCCTCCCGACCAGAGAAATGTTTGGGGAAAAACAGTATATTTACATTTTTAGTAATAAATGATACCTCAGACTAAAGTTAGGATAATATAATTGACATTGCTGGATTCCTTGCAGGACAGGGAATATTTTGAATGTAAACGTCATATATTTTGCACAAAAGATAAAATTTTTGCTCAATTACATCTAAAATTTGTATGTCTAATGAAAATTTTAGGATGTTTATATTTAAATGATCACCATCTTGTAAGGATTCCAGCAATGTAAATTATATATTTTATGAGCTAAAAACATATATATCCTCAGTAAATAAACAAATTATACTTCACTCACGTAAATGATGAAATTTTCCGCGTAATTAAAACATTTCATTCTGGCAAGGTGCTGCATAAATGACCAAACTCGTAAACAAAATCCGCGTAAATCCAGACTATACTGTATTGTAATTTTTTAATTTTTTTCTGTATTAGACAAAATGGTTTTACTAGGGTAGTCTATAATATCCTGAATGATTTCTATGGCAAGTACGTATTTACGTGTTTATTTACACACCCAGACTTGAATTATATGTAGAGAACACAATTATTTTTTTAAATTTATGAGTTTATATTACAAAAAACTTACTCCATGTAAATATCAACACCATCTATGAAACATTTATCATTTCTCGCCTAAAATATTATGACAAATATGATAATCTTGGCAGCCATGGTACCATACCCAATTTTTTTCATAAGGTCTTATATTCAGTGTTCGTGAATTCACGATGCGGAAATCCGGGTTACGGAAATTCGCCCTTACGGAATTTTGAAATTATGACCCAAAAATTTGTGATATGGGAAGGAAACTTACCCTTGGGAATTCTGATAAAGTTTTAAATTTGTCAAGCATTAAAATCACTGTATGTATATTTGGGTGGTCCAAATTATAGGGTGAAAATTTGAAAGTTGTCTGAACCAAGCGAGCACATAGTGCCCTCGTTGCACTTCATGTACACTAGTGAAACTTTGTATAAAATTTGAAGAAAATTGTATGATGTTTGGGGGTCCTGCAAAATGTTTAGTTATTTTAGTCATAAAAATTCTAGCTCACCTCAGGGATGATTACAAGGAACTTATTGCCACACACCTTTTTGGGGGAAATTCCAGAGGGAGGTGTGAAGATCAGTGCACCTGGGGCCTTCCACCAAGCCAGATGGATGGCAAAGGCCATTTATGCTCTTAAGATCTTCCTCTTCAGAGAGCAGTTCATCCTCACTGCTCACAAAATGCGGGACCCCTGAATACTGAGATGAGGAACTGAAATTTTGCCTGAAGACATGTTTGGGGTAAAGGTATTAGGGCAACATGTGTCTAAATTAAAATTCCACCCAAATATATATAACAAATTTATTTTGTGTTGATTCTTGGTTACAGTGTCCACTACAGTATATACTGTAGTGTCTTATATGTAAATTCAGTACTGTAATGTGAAATGTACAGTTTAAAAGTAATTTAACCAAAACTTATATTGGGTGGCTGCTCTTTCATAAATTCCCACAAGCCTTAAGCAAAAAATTAACTTGATTTATGTTTTCCTGTTACTTTCAAAGTCATATTTTATTGGTAATGGTTAATGTAGTGTAGGAACCCATCAAAACAAGACTTTGCTCATAACGTTGTTTTAACACTGTGCTGTACTAGCTTTACTTAGCTCTAAGCTTGAGCTAAAGTCTCATGGAAAAGATATTGTGTCTACCTGTACTGTAAATTTATTTTTTGCCTGTCTGATTATTTACTAGGGGCAATAGATAATATACTGTACTCTTTTATAAAATAATGCTAAATAAAATTTTGTTTCTAGGATCATTTGACACCCCAAACCGTGGAGATCTCCCTACCACAGTTACAGAATCACTGCACACAGTTGCTAAGAGGCTGGAGTTTGAAGAGGGAAATTTCAATAAGTTTACCAGTGAGGAAGATCCCCACACACCACTGAGCTCTCGTGATGAGTCGCCACTGTTTGGTCAGTGTTACTCATTTCTCAATTTTGTATTGAAGAAAATATTAGTTTTTGCTTAATTTTATAACAACAGACATTGTCATTTCTTCAGGAGGGTCTTATATGCATTGATTATTGGGTCCCTCTAAGGTGTGTTCTATTAATTCCTCTTAAATGAAATACATACAGTAGCTACCTGGTATACATACACCACCGATTTTATGGGAACTGATGGTCCGGCACCTCCTTTAGTTCAGACAAAACTATGAGGGGGCGGGCACTTAACTTTCCTCCCAGCCTGGGGTGAAGGTAGTTTTAGGCTTAAAGTTTTTATCTTATAAAATGTAGCTGACTAGACTTAGTAGAATATAACTTGCATTGCTGGAATCCTTGTAAGATAGTGATTAATTTGAGTATAAACATCACATAGTTTGCACAAGAGATAATTTTTTTTAGTCTAGTGTACTTGTAGTACATTTGGAGTACAAAGTGTGTACAGTAATGTTGCTCAAAATTATGACTTTTTCACATTTAATTTGAGTTTCTAGAAGTCCATGGTGCTTTAGAGACACAGGAGGTGTATAATTAGTGGGTCAGAGGTGTACAGTATTGTTGAATAATTATTACCTGACTTCAGTTGGTCCGGCAAAACGGATAATCCGGCAAGGCTTTGGAACCAAGGGTGCCAGAAAATTGGTGATGTACCTGCAGTAGTTACTTGGTAATATTTAGTAAGAGTTGTGACATTATATGGTTTGATTTAAGATTTTAACCTTTAAGCCCAGGTTAGGGTGCTGGTGGCAATTACCCCCACTTGCAGGGTAAATTGAGAAAAATTAACTTTTCCAAAAATTATTTTAACCTTTTAAAATTATAAAAAAAAAAAAGTAACAAAAACTATATATTGACCCTCTAGAAACTTCTCTGGCCGTGCAGAGGGAGGGAGGAGGGGGAGGGAGATAAGGAGACAGTGTTGGTTTGACAGCTGACGCTCGTGGTCCCTCGGCACTTAGCAGCTATTTTTAGCTCGCCTTTGTGTCCGAGGTGGCCAGTTATGTGTATATTTACTAATCTCAATACTTATTTGCTATAAATAATTCATTTAGAATACATAAAATAATAATAATTCCACAAATAAATACATTTATAACATAATCACAGCATTATCTTACAGTAATACTACACTACAATACAACTACACTACTTTTAGCAATATTACTTTGATACAACATGATAAAATAGACAAACAATGAAAATGAAACAAACAAAAGTAGGTAATTATGTTCAGGAAGCTTCCCTGTGGCCGAGGTGTGGCGTGACAGGCAAATAGTCACACTGGAACCTGATGACCTGCGCTGGGCATTTAAACAGTGGCGGGAATAGGCGCTCGTTCTGGAATGTCACCCGGGGCCAAAGGGTTAACAGCCTCATCATCACTGAGCATGACACCTCCCTTGTCTCAAATCTTACCATTATATGATTCATCACAACATTGTCCAAACTTCCTCAGTGAAGCTCAGGCTTATGCTGAGAGCTAGGTTCAGCTTTACCTGATGAACAATTGACAACCATGTGCTCTCTTAGATGGAATATGACTGCCATCCTTGGTAAAATAGGTCTACTTAAATGTACAATGATTAAGTATTTTGGAGGAAATTACACTAGTTCTCCTTACAACATGTTGCATGATACTGTAGTTAGGTTACATAGGAGTGATCATGAAGAATTTGACAGGGGATGTTAAGTGCAAGGGTAACTCCACAGATATGGTGGGAATATAGAACTAAGAGTACAGTGTGTGCAAGTTTAGCCTGGATGTGTTACCTGCAGGGAATTTTTGATGAGCATATCCATATTTATAGTTGGTTGGTATTATTGTTTCTTTTTAAAATCTGTCATTTTTTTAAAATGCATTGAAAATTTGAGTTTAGTCATTTCTGATATTCTTTGCTTTTCAGAGGGCGACATCAAAGCAGATCCAATGTCATTAGACCTCTTGGACAGCTGTAATAACCAAGCCTTTAGTTCTGAAAGCTATGAATCAAGTGGATTGGGGTCAGAAATCAACATTAGGCAAGAGAGTAATGAAATGAAGGAGGACATAGACTATAATACAAAATGTAAGTATTAGATCAAGATGAGTTTGTTATTCAACATTCATTCTTGCTTACTGGTTACTTCAGCATGGTAGGCTGTAGAGTTACTTGAAATAGTTAGAGTACTTTTAGGACCAAGTAATAATTTTTTATAAGGTACAGTCACCAACAAGTCTCCATAAACCCTGAGATTCAGACTAGTGAACCCGAAGTAGCCGTGGAGTGAATAATGCATCAGCGTCTACTGCTTCTGGTTCATGAGTCTGAATCTCGGGGGTTTGTTGAGCAGCAGAAGAGAAGACAGGACACTTGTATTGTTTATATGTGTTTGTTATGTGTTTATATGTAGTGTTGGTGGGATACACTGGTATTTGGGGGAGGGGGGGCTATTTTTATATCTAGTTACATTTCTTTCAGTTTGTAGAACCTATCCATACTAACGTGTTTGGTGGTAGGCGTTGACTTTACACCTTGGTTGACCACTGATTAATTGTCTGGCTTGTGTGTTTAGGGAGGGATGGACCCAGCCAAGTTGTTGGGTAGGAATTTTGAGGCAGCCAGTCTGTGTGGCTTATAAGTGGTGTGGACTGTACGTATGGTGAAATTCTTAAGCTCATCTCTCAAAACACAAACGTCTTAGTTATAATCCAACATAATCTTGGTATTTCATTGATACTGATATTAATGATAAAAATATAGCTGCCCCGTTGTCATAATGCTGTTGAATTATCAGTGAGTCACCTGAGCATTATGTAGACCCTTGTACCTTGTGTTACCTTGATGTTCCTACTTTCCATCTTGTGTGGGTGCTTGTGGACAATAAAACTTCAACTTCATATTGGTATCTTGCGACCCTAGACCACCAATACTGCTTCATGGTCGTCTTCTAAGTAACAGAGAAAATGTTTTTATTCCTCTTAAGCTAAATATGATATTCTGTTAACAGCTATTGTCATTAACCGGTGAATAAAATTAATGGTATCTTAAGGTACAAACTTAATGTAAACATACCATATATTCACAGCTTATTTTAGTCTTAGTTTCTAAGGTTCTATTCACACTATAGGGGCGGTCACGGTCCAGTCAAGGGACGGTCTCGCTCCGGTCACGGATCGTCTCATGGGAAGATATGCGAATTCTCTTCATCAGAGTTGGCAATGATCGCAATTGCATTTGACAAGGAGGAAGAAGAAAGAAAAGAACAAAATTGGAAAAGGAAGGAATTTTGGGTTCATCCAATGTTGTAAGATAGGAAGAGTGAGGGGGAGTTACATACACTCTAGCCTCATTTGATTGATGATGAAAGTAAATTCTTTCAGTACTTTCATTTGAACATTGGCACTTTTGAGATGATTTTGTCAAAAATAGAAGAGGAATGACGTAAGGAAAACACAACCTTTAGAGAAGCCATCACTCCAAGACAAAAGCTGGCAGTATGTCATAGGTGAGATACAAATTTAATTGAATTATTGAATTTGGGTATAAGGCCAATCACTGAAACAGCAAGGTTGGCAGGTACGATAAAACACCGTACAGTAAGTCCTCGCTTGACGTTGGGTTTATGTTTCTGAAAACGCGACATTTTACGAAACAACGTTAAGCGGATCAATTTTCCCCATAAGAAATAGATAAAATATGGGTGTTACGTTCCCCAGCCTCCCTTTGACCCGTGAAATACATTACATATACAGAAAAGCATTGACATTTCTATAGAAAATAAGGCATACATATACAACTACTAAGTTTGTATTGATACTCACCGATGGGCGGAGGTGGTAGAGCGAGTGTGTGGTGGATAGTGAAGCAGAGGAGGAGGAGGAGGGTGGGAGCCGAGGAGGAGAGTGGTGAGTCACTGAGACTCTGCGCCTCCTCCTCCTCCTCCTCTGACGGGTTCCTCCGCCGCTGGTTGCTCCTCCTCGGCTGCCGACTGTTGTGAAGAAGCTCCTTCTGCCATCCCGCGACGAAAAAATTAATCCAGTGTTGACTGCTTGGTGCTACTCTCATTCTTCTCCTTATGGATCTCAGTGTAACAACCAAGACTTTCATCAATGCTGCGTTGAACCTTTCAGCTACATTCTCTGTTTGGGTCGTCATCTACAAGGATTTGCATAGCCTTGCTAGAACATGTTGAACGATTCTGCCAGCCTCTTGGTAGTTAGCGTTCGTTGAGGTTCTTCTTCTTCATCGTCGTCGTCTTCAACAGGACTGTGTTCTGTTAGTTGTTGCAGATCCTCATTGGTGAACTCTTCTGTATGGGATGCCAGGACTTGCTCAATATCCTCTGATTCCAGCTCATCAAAGCCTGCCTGTCTAGCCAAGCTGAGGATATCCCTATTCACTGCTGGGACTAAGTCCGTGATCCCGTAAAACTGTTGACGCACTCGGGCCACAATTTATGCCACACACCATTCAGGCAACTTTCTGAAACCTCTTCCTATGCCTTGCCAATGTTGTCAATTGCATGAAGAATGTTGAAGCCTCACCAATATTCTCGGATCGTAGGTTTATTTTCTCCGTCTGTAGCCTCAAGCAGCTGGGCCATGGTACGGTATAAATAATACACCTTGAATGTGGCGATGACGCCTTGGTTCATAGGCTGCATCAGTGCTGTTGTGTTGGGAAGCAGGAATACAACTTTTACACTGTCATGTAAGTCGTCGAGATTGGGAGGATGAGCTGGAGTATTGTCAACGATCAGAAGAATTTTGAAGTCTAGGTTCTCCTTGGCACAATATTCCTTCACTGCAGGGACAGTATACACGTTTACCCACTGGCTAAATATGGCGCCGGTTATCCATGCCTTCTTATTTGCCTTGTAGATCACAGGAAGGTGATCCTTAGAGTAACCTTTCAAGGCCCGTGGGTTGGCAGTGTGAAAAATCAGCATTGGCTTCAGCTTGAAATCACCGGCAGCGTTTGCGCCAAGCAGCAGCGTCAAGCGGTCTATTGCCGCTTTAAAACCTGCCGCTCTTTTCTCCTCCTTGGAGATATACTGTAGGTCCTCTCAGGCATTGAAGACTTGCTTCGATGAGTAGCCTCCTTCCTAGATAATCCGTTTGAATTCTGGCGGGAATGTTTTGGCAACAACTGTATCAGAACTGGCAGCTTCACCAGTCATCTTAATATTGTGGAAGTTATACCGACGCTTAAATCGTTGAAACCAACCTCGGCTGGCCGTAAAGGTCTCTTCCTTCGATCCTTCACCCTCTTCTGCCTTTAAGTCGTCAAATAAGGATCTGGCCTTATGCTGGATAACCATAAGGCTCACAGGCGCAGTGCGTTGATTCTGGTCCTCCATCCATATTGCAGCATCTTTTTCACCTTCTCTATCACAGTGCTTCTAGTACGAGTCATCTTAGTTGCACTCAGAGAAGAACCACTTCCAGCACTAACCTTAATCTTGTCAGCGTTAGTCCGGATAGTACGCACCGTTGTGGGGGTTAGACCAAGCACAGCGGCTATGTCCACAGCACGTTCCCCTTTTTCAAATCGGGTTAATACATCCAATTTTGTAACCAGGGTAATGGTCTTACGTTGCCTCTTCACTTCACTAGCATCAGTAGCACTTGATGGGTGCTTGGAAGCCATTTTGAATGGTTATAGTACAGTTTTAGAGCAAAAGCACTTCAACACACACAAATGATGTGAAGTCATAACAGAGACTGGCTCGGCGTCGCTTGGGGACGTTGTTATGTTCCGTGAGTGAGGGCCGCGGGCCGAGCCGAGAGAGCGTAGCGAGGCCAGACAAGAGCGGGTGATGCACCGTAGAAAGTAGTCCGTACGCAAAACGACGTAGTATTGGATCACCGGGACGTTAAACGAATTTTTGGTCTCTAAAGTTCAGCGACGTAGTACCGAAACAACGTTAAGCGGGACGACGTTAAGAGAGGACTTACTGTATACGGGTTTGTCTTTGATTTACCCAACATTTTTACATGTTTGTAATATTTCTTCAGGGAAAAAATATTATTGACAGTGCTGATATTGCCAATGTGGAATGCTGACTGCTTATTTCCTCCCAGCTTCTTCGTTTTGCCATATTATCACTATATCGTGGAGAACTCAAGTCATACAACTCAGCCATAATTTTCACTAATTCAATTAACAATTCATCTGAATAAAAGCAAAGAAATCGTTTGTGTATTACTAATTTGTAAAGGCTATATTTTGTCTAATATGTACTAAATGCAAGTCTTTATTGTTTTCTTTATACAAACCTACCTTTCCCATAATCCCACTTGCATGATTTCCTCTTCTTTGGATCCATGTTTCACAAAACTGAACCAAAGAATACACGACCAAACTCAGTGACGGTTAAAGCAAGACTGGAGCGAGCACGTCTTCAATCCACACTGGCGGTCTGGCATGGGAAGGGACGCTCACGGTACAGTCAAAATATCTTTCAACGGATCGTCACTTGAGCGTGAGCTAACCTTGACTTGACCGTGACAGCAAGTGTGGACGCCGTCATTAGCATGCATGTAATGATATTTGACTCGACCGTAAATGGAGCATGACTGGACCATGACCGTCCCTATAGTGTGAATAGAGCCTAAATGTTTTCTTCCATTTCCAATATTTTTCAACTAGCATCTCTTTTTGAGGTTTACAACAATCCTCCTACCATGTAACACAGATATACAATGATGTTTTTTCATCATTAAAGTAATACATTACACATGAATGCTTAATGTCATTCTAAATATTATTTGCAGTTATAATATTTGATACTTTTATCACAGAGGACTGTACAAGAAAGGATTATCTATACCCTGTACTGTAGTTGGATACCATCCTATCTGATATGTCAGTGCCTCTGTAGTTATTGCACCAGACCACAGGGTCTAGATACCCTTTTTGCTGACTGTACATATGGAATGTGTTAAACAGTAATTTGCTGTACTTCTCTCCTTTCTTTACTAGATAAAAGTGAGTGGGATTCAGAATATGGACAATCCTTAGAAGATGGAAAATTTGCACCCACAGACCTCCTTACACTCATCAATGTTCTAGGAACAGAAATAACTACATGTGAAAACCTGCTCAAGGATGAACTTGATAAACGGAAACGTTACAAGGTAATAATTGTTTTACATATGAATATAATGTACAGTATAGATGTACTGTTATGCATATGACCTAGCTTATTTTGGCAAGTGACAGGTGAGGTATTTCATTGTGATAGGACTTCATACCTAATTATCCACTAGAGGTTAACCCTTGAAGTGTGGCTGGTAAATGTAGGGATTCACAGTATTGAGCAGCACTGAGTGCTTGACATTATAAGTCAGGGAGGAGTACTCCTTACTTCCATGATATTTATTTAAGGGGGAGGGGGCTGGGTTATGTACCCACCAGTCAAAGGATTGTATAAACTTTTTTGCTTCTAGTCATAGATAGAAATACAGAACATAATTATCATTTGGCTCCTGTACTGACAAGCTGTTAATGATGTGATTTTCACCAGATTGATGATAGCAGGAGAACTCATAATTATGATCAGTTCATCATCACATTCCTGGCTATGCTGGCAGAGCAAGGAAAAATGGGAGACCTCGTGAAACAGCAACTACAACCACCAAGAAAGAGACCAGCCCCGGCACCTACTACTCCTCGAGGGTCCAAGTTAGTGTTCTTTTCTTACAAACTAATCCAGGTACAGGTATCTATTATGAACTTCTTATATGAAAGTTTCCCGCTTATCTGAATTTGGGTCGAGACACTTTCAAATCATTTCTGATTAATCTCCCTTGTGAGCCTAGACTGCTCTCTCCAAAGGTAATATACAAAAATTATACAGTATTTTAGTACACTGTCCCTCGCTTTATCGCATTCTCCATCTGAATTGCGTTTATTAACGACCCTATTTATATACAATCCATTTTATCTGGGAAAAGATTCCCTATTATGATGATATATGTTTTAAAGTTAAACAATTGATTTATTAACACCAAACTTCTATATAAATGATGTGTGAATGTGACGTCACATTGAAGGAAGGAGGGTTGGGGATGGAGGGAGGGAAGGCTCCTCAGTCATCAGGCAGCTAAAGGCCACAGGCTCCACCACATGTTCACCTCACTTTCCACCCACCCATGTTCTTTGTTTTTTTTTCTTATTTTATAGTTTTCTATTACAGTCAACCCTCACTTTACGCGGTTAATGTAACCCGCAGGGTCCCGCGGAAAGTGAATAACATAACATATGGGATTAATTGAAATAGAGTCCGGGCCGACCCCCAAACTCCACTTTTTGACGACACACAACTTTGTTGTAGTAAAAAATTTATCTTAACTTTATGATGGTATGAAAAAACAAGTAATATAGAAGAGGTTAGGTTAGGAAAAATAAAGGTTAACATAGGAAAAATAAAGGTTAAGTTAGGAAAACTAAAAGTTATGTGGAACACTTACGTTAGTAGAAGAGATGGGTCGGCATACGGGGATGGAGGCTGGTTCCGAGGCAGAGGGCAGATTACTAGCCCTCAGGTGAATCACCATCGCTGTCACTTACAGTTGTCAGGGCTTCCCTGACAAATCCCTCAGTCATCTTCACTGTCACTATCACTGGCTTGGGCTGGCTGCGGTGGGTTGCGGGCGAAGAAATCTGTTATGCTTTGCTGACGGCTGGTGTTGATGTTGTCGTGATACACCTTGATGTAGGGCTCTATAGTCTGCAACAGCTGGATAGTGAAGATTTCATACCTGTTTGCGTCATGGTCGTCGGAAAGGAGGAGCTTGGCTTTCTCGATACACTCGATGGCACCCCTAACATTACTATGGGATAAGTGTTGTTCTTCTTGGGATGACGCACCACCTGCCTCTTCACTGACGTCGTCATCATCATCATCATCATCATCATCTACCATCTCGTCGGTAGTCACTTCAGGATCCCTTATCACCTCCACGATGTCGTCGTTGGTGGTCTCGGAGAAGCCTGGAACTGTAACAGTCTGCGCAGCTTCTCTGGCAAGGTCCACTGCCACTGCAACAGTCTGAACCTCACCAGTCACAGATTGACTCCTCCTCTCACCTGGTATTCCATGCAACACGTCTCCATGCGTGACGAATTGTAGCAATAGACAGCTGATCCCATGACTCCACCAAGAAGTCCACAGCTTTCTTAATGTTAAATACTCTCCAGAATTATTTGAACAGTATTTTTTGCTGTGCCAACTGTTGATCCTCATCTTCTTCGCTCTTGCTATCGGTGGTGGTGTCACTCAGGTTGCGCAACTCTTCCCTGGTGTTGGTGTAGTCGTTCAGGAGTTTGAATTTTTTCGTAGAGAATGCAGCTTTTACATTACAGATTAACTCTTGGTCCATGGGCTGTAATATAGACGTAGTGTTGGGAGGAAGGAAGACCACTTTTACGTTGGGGTGACGATCTAACAGTAGGGGCGAGTGTCCTGGTGCGTTATCGAGTCCCTGAGCGAGTACACAAAAAGAAAACGGAGGACTAAGACATCCTGAAGTGGATAGAGAACGGACATCACTAGTGGGGGACTCAAACGTTTCTCATGTATATATATACTGTAAATTGTAAAAATTTAAATAAGAGAAAAACTAAATACGTAGCGTTTAAAGTGTACTGTACAGTGTTGTGGCTTGGCGCGGGTTTATGCAGTGTTTACAGTTCACGTTCGACATCACATGTTCAATTGATTTATGTGTTTTGTTTGTGAACAATTGCAGAAATAATTAATGTAATATTTATGTATACAGTATACCTGTACATATGTAAATTGTAAAATTTTAAATAAGAGAAAAACAAAATACATAGCGTTTTCGACCCGCGCGCTCTGTTTACTCCACACCTTCAGTTTGAAGCACATGTGAAGTTTTTAAGCGTCCTCAGTGAATTCTGATTACTGTTTCTCCAATTTTGTGACTATGGAAAAGAAGAATATCTCTGGGAAGTGTTCTGGTGATCGCATTTCCGGTGGCTGATCGTAAAAGAAAGGCTATAACACTTGAAGAAAAGCTTGATGTTTCATGACTCCTCAACATCAACCTTCTCCCCCATCAAGTTATATTCATATTTTTTCCAGGTAAAGTGTAACATTTACTGTATGATTTCATTATTAGATATGAATGTAACATTTATTTAGACTGTGCTATCCTTTGTGTTAGGCTAACTACGAATTTTTTTTTCGATTTGGAGTAATCTGCACCTAACCCAATTTTCTCCATAAGCCCTGTTATTTCTATTACGCGAATTTCTATAACACGATGTTTTACAAGAACACAACTATCGCGTTATAGCAGAACTACCTGTACTTAATTTTATGCAGCATGAAGGCAGTTATATGTATCACAGTGTAGACATGGCACAGAATCTTATTTGGGTTTTATATGTGAGGTAGTAGGGTCAGTTTTAAAAGATATGTTGCTGTCAGTGTATCTTTAATATCAGATATTTCAAGTATGGTTTTATTTCTTTACAGAGCTTCTCTAAAGAAGACAGAGTCCAAGACATCTCCCAACGCAGCTTCCAAAAAACGTGGCAGAAAGAAAAAAGCCAAGGGCAAAAGGAAAAGATGAAAAGAACTGAAGAGGGCATATCAGTTCAGTACACCAAGGACAAAAACAATTTTTTTTTACAAAAGCACCTTTATGTAACATAATCCTTAATATGAGAAGTAGGCAAAGCTTATAACTATAAATTATATCCAAAATTGTAAACAAAACATTAACATTTATAATTCTGTATTAATAATACAAATCACTCTTTAATTCTGTAATGATTCACCAACTTGTTTGTGGAAACTTCATTAACTACAAAAGAAAAGTTATTATTGCCACATTATATGCAGATCACAGCAGAAGCAGTGTTGGTAATGGTTCTCTAAAGACCACTGAACATTAAGCACCACTATCCTCTATCAGTTTTGTATTGAACATGTGCAATTTTTTTTTTAAACAATCAAATCTGACCAAATCAATAAAATCATAAGCACTTGCAGTGCCTCAACAATATCCCATTAGTTTATGCACTAAATAGAAAACATAGGCAATTTAGTCATAACCAAGTTGCTTCAATCATACATGTATGTATAAAATCACAGGGCTGGAATTACAGACTTGACTGGAAAATATAAATTTTCATTTATAAATCATTGTTAATTATGATTGGAAGATAACCTTAATGTACAAACGAAAATTAAGTAATACAGGTTATAATACATTTTATTCACACTTCAAGAATGCTTATTAAAACTCAAAATTTAAGACAGTTCTGTACTACCAGAGACAAATGAAATTCTGATAACTATTGTCGTTTCATCCACGAAATATAAAAGTGTCAAACTACTTTAGGAATACAAAAACATTTTGTAACCCATATGATTGTGTTTCACTCCTTGAGATTACTGATGTGTATAAAATGCACAGAAATTTATTTCGTGGTTTATTAAATAGTACAAAAAAATTCCAGTCCAAGTCCACACTGTCCCTTACAAACTATAAAGCTAAACATACAGATTGCTTCAATAATGAAGAAACCCAAGATCTGTTAATGTATAAATTCTAGTTCAATATTATTAATCTAACTTTTACTGTCACCTTGAATTATAAATATTTCAGTTACAGTAAATTACTTAGCATTATATTCTCTAAACAATCAACTTCATTGGTGATGAACATGTATGCCTAAATTGCAAAAAAAATAATATCAGCTCTTTACGGAAAATAATTTGCCAGTCTTTATAATAGCACATCTGTGTACCTTAAATATTTTAAAATATATTTCAGTGTGTTAAGGCTACACTATACTGAACACATAACACAATTGTAGATCTTAAAGTTATGCCAAATGTATAAAAAAAAGCTTTTAGTCCAGAATAGCAACAACTCTACTCTTATCACTACTTGTGAAACAACACCAGCCAATACTGATAATCTTGTTAAATAATTGGTATATGCGCACTACTCAACAGTGACAAAATGCATATAAAAAATATATTGTATAGGTGAATTCCAATCAAGGAATAGAAATACAGGTAATCCTAAATCTGACATGTGATAGGTTATCTCTACATTACACTACTAAAAACTCCCAATAATTAGCTCTCACAACCAATAACTGTAATCTATAATCCCTAACAGTTATTACTTACAATTTTATTCAGCCGTCTTCTGATGGCAAACTAATATCCGATTAATTTTTTCACAGCTACAGTGAAAGTGGGTTTCATAGGCCTGATGGCCTGTAAGGGGCAGTGCAGAAACAGCTTGCTGTATACCAAGCCTCCACACACAAGGCTTATATGGTTAGCACTGAACACAACTGCCTTTATGTAGTTAACTGAAATTAGGAACCTATTCATGACTGGGTGGACTGAAGGTTTTCTGGGTGGAACCCAGTAACCCTAGGACAGAAAGCGAGTAATGTATTCACTTGAACAGTTGCGGAAATGTGTTCCTGCGCACCGTGGTAACCTGTCTCCAAATCGCCAGCCTATATGACCTATAGCAAACCTATCCACCAATCACATCTGTCGTTACAAGACTTCATTCATAAATAGTGATACTACTACTGCGACGGTGCCGTTTGGAGACACGGGTTACCACGGGGGAGGGGACACATTTCCACAACTGTACACTGTACCCCCACAGCTTCATAAGTCTCACATCATTTGTGTTCTGTGCTGTACTGTACTCATGTTGCTGCTACTTTTATGTATAATCATTTTCTCCTTTGAGGCAAAAGTTGGGGGGAAAAGATGCTCATCATCAGCTAAGAGGTTTTTGGTATGAGAAAAGGCTTACTTTTATACACATGAACTCAAAAGTTAACTTTATCTCCTTTAATGTGTATTTTAGCCCTTATCTACTCGCATTCTTAGTGATGTCACGACATCTGTACTGGTGAAAAACATGTGATGTAAACTGTCAGAATATTTAACAAAGTAGAACACATTACCTGTATACCACTAAGCATTAATCCTAAGATAAGAATTTTTCTTGATACAATCAGATCCAAAACTTTGTTAAAGTGGGAGGATAATGCATGCAGATGTTAAGGTAACATTGCACCAAGAAGACTTAGTCCTAATTTGACTCGAGTTAGCAGTAATGAGCCCATCACAGATAACACCCTGAAAATGCTGCCAAACCACAGAAAGGGGTCTAAGTCTCAGGAACTTAGACTTTGAAAAGATGCACCAAATACAATTCTTTCAACTATATACAACTCCTGCCCATAACAACTAAAGTATTGGAAGCACACACCCATAACAAATTCATCACTTTGTTGCTCTGCCTTCAAGAAATAATACGTACTTTAAATCGGATATAACAAATAAATTGATTTGACAGTACCTTAACCATCATCAAAAGGAACAGATAAAAAGGGTTTGTAACACTTTTTGTTGTACACAATTAAATATATCTTAAGTTGAAATACTGTACATGAACAATAAATGAAAATATATCTATAAAATTTTACTGGTGGCATCACTCATGAGAGGAGTTAAATCCATATTATTTCAAATACTAAGGAGATGCGAGTCATGTATGATTGAGCTGCAGTCCATGTGTAACTTGCTGATCATGAAAGTGCTACCTAATGATTTATGGAGACTAAAATAAAAAACTACAAAGAAAAAAAATGAGAATGAGCTGTTTATATATGAATCATTAAGTGGACAAAAACCAAGAACATTATTATTAGTTAGTCTGAGGTCGAAATACTTTATAGTTAGTGAAAATAAATGCAAAACTTAAGAAAATACGAGGTAAAACATTTAAAAATATCAATAGCAAAAATTTTGAAAAAGGAAGAAAGTATTTACTCTTTAAATGCTGGAATTAAAAGAATGATTACCTAACAAGTTTTAGAAATATTTTTTTTTAATATGGCAGATACAGTACCTGTATATTCTCAATGTAAAGTTTGTATTTTTACCCATAAACAGCGTGTTAATTGGTTGTGGCAAGTAGAAGCATTTGTCATTCCATAAACTGTTTTTCTTTGGGCTGAAGCATGCTCAAAGTAATTATTAATCAGGTCCGAGATTCTATTTTTTCCCGGTTCTCTATTTTTCACATATTTCATTCCTGCTCCCCTTGTCACACATTCCTCTTGGTTTACATCTGCCAAAGCTACAATACCTACATTATTTGTAATAGATTTTTTTTATTTCTGACAGAAGGCAATGAATTATTTGTGAACTTATTTGATGGCCAAACCAAACCAGCATACATAATTTTCCCACAATGTTTCATAAACAACTACATCACTATATAGTACATGGAGTTTTGATAGTTGTCAGTTACACCATAATTAGGTGCAATACAGAGCTGCTGGTCAAAAAAAAAAAAGCAGCACACAGAGGACAGGAAGGAACATAGAGTAATGCCAATTAGACACAAATGCTATAGCAGTGTTGGATAATAGACGAGCTTTAAAGCTTTTATTTCTTGATTAAAATAATACTTTAGATGGTATTAAGTATTATTGGGGTACCAGAACATGTTTTTCCTTAAAAGAAGTTAAATTTTGTTGGAGAATACAATTTACTTAAGAAGATCCTAAAAATGAACCTAACTCCCTATTAAGGATCTGCTGTAGACGATGTTTTAATGTGTATCAGTGGTCTATGACTGAAGAAAACAATATGACAAGGGGTGAGAAATACCTATAAACTCCCTCTCAAGAAAATAGCAAAACAGAGAGCACTAAACTATTCTTCCAAGTAACATCATCATTCACTTATGTGGTAAAATTTATAAATGCCAGCAATTATACTTTGATAATATATTACTAAGATCTCATTAATGTACTATAATTGTAAAGTAATGCATTATGATTTGATTATGTATGACATGGAACATTAAATATTTGGTTATACTGATAGAATTAGTGGGACTGCAAGTACAGTATGGTCTCATTCTATTGTAAATACTGTACAGTACAGTACTTCTCATGCTAAGTGTCAAGTGACTAAGACCTCACACTACCAAAGGTTTGGTTGACTCACCATTGCAGGTGCTACCCTTGGGGGAAATATTTGATGTTTTAAGAACATGAGCCTCAAATAACATTCCAAGACCTAAGATGTACTTAATATATTTAAGAGCACTTTAAACTGATACAGAAATATGTCAAGTAAATGATGAACTGACAGGTTCATGATCACCTCATACAACAACATAACATACTAACAACAGTACAAAGGTTAAATAATTGATAAATGTTTCAAGGTCTTTAACAACTTTAAAAAAAAAGTTAATTGGACCAATTAACTTTTTATTTTATCAATCAAGACAAATTGCAGAAAAGTCTTCAAATCAAAGGGAACAAATTTTCAATATATAACAAAATTGTTTGGTAGTCAGTAATAAATAACCAAGAAGATTGTTAAATAAATAACTATTAACACTACAGTACAATTTATTAAATCTTTATCTTCATATTACTAATCACTTTGAACAAAACACCAAAACAATTTTTGTTCAAAAGGCTTAGTTAGATATTTTATACTGACAATTCTCTTTCTCAATATCTGTACAATACTCTTTATCAACTCCAAAAATATTCAATTACACAAAAAATTTAAAAAGTATAAGGGGAAATTAATTTGATTTACTGATATACAATACTGTATTTAAATTGTTAATATGGATTTCAATCAAGTATACAGTACAAGTACAGAATAAGTAACCAAGCTGAAATGATTTGTTCAGCATTGTAGCCATTTCTTCTTGATACTTTACTGCAACTTACAACATTGGTATTTCCAAAAAGACTTAATAATTTTATTAACTTGTCTTTTGTTGACTATATATAAACAGTACATCCCAAGTCTAGACAGAAAGTTTAGGACAAAGCTGCAAGACTTATGTATTTATATGAAATCAGACATTATTAAGAAAAAATCAAAGGGTAACTTTTATTTAAGATATTATACATAATTCACAGTAGCATTTATTGTGTATGACGTTACATCGGCATCAGCTTTTTTTTGTATGTCTAGTGACTTACTTTTATCACTGTAATGTGCCTACAGACCTGACAGCTGTTACCACCACAAGTTAAGTGCATTCTATAATACATACTGTACTGTACTACCATTTTTATATTAGTCACTGCATATTTATGATGTGTTTATTGTGTTTCTCTTTCATCATGGCATTACTTATGGTTCAAATAACACCAAGAATGTTAATTTTCTTATCAACCTACAAATTCTTTATGCAGTCCTAATCTACTTTGGACGACAAGTTTGTGGTCTTGGTGTGTACATCAAATCACTTAGAAATTTATAAAATAACATTAGCAACAAATTTGTTTGTTCTACAAACTCATGGTTTATATAAACAGACATAAACAGCAAATAATATCAAATGAATATTGACTTTTAAATTCTTTTTATTTTATAAATAATGTATTTGAAAGATCACAGGTTACTTCAAAATACCTCTATTATTAGAAGCACTATTCAATCACAACTTTATTGAACGTTTTCAATTAACACATTAATTCTGAATTTATTGCCTTAGCTTCCTAACTCATTTGGGTTCGTTTTATTTCACTTATCACTGATGTCAATGTGAACGAATAGAGCTGCAGGTGCTAGGGACTTGCCTCCCATTTCAGTAAAGTGGACAAATCGATAACCTGCAAGAATGAATAGAATGTAATCAATATTTAAATTCATATGACTTTATTTGGTGGTAAAAAAAAGTTAAATAATAAAAGGTTCCCAACCAAAGCAAATAAAACATCTGAGAAAAAGACAGAGAACACTTACCTGTTGAGATTGATCTAAAGGGAATGCAGCATAGGCCAAGAACAGGATCACGGGCCAGGCTCTCATCTCTCAACGAAAAGTATACCAAGGACACCTGGGGCACCTTGATGCTCAGTTCTAAGGTTTCATTCCACACTGGGTTAAAGCCTGAAAAAGGTACAATAATATTAGGGCGATAATATTAGTAGTCCTGTCCTGTATGTCATCTAATCTAAGGACAACATAGATATAGAACCAATAATATAAAATAACTAGTGGTATATTGTGATGTGAGAGGGTAGTGAGGAGGGTCAGGGGAGGCAGGAGGGGTGTGAGATCAGGGGGCAGGAGGTCAGGAGGCAGGAGGTGAGTGAGGAGGTCAGGAGGTCAGGGGAGGCAGGAGGAGGTAGTGAGGAGGGTCAGAGGCAGGAGGGTAGTGAGGAGGAGGTCAGGGAGGCAGGAGGGGTAGTGAGGAGGTCAGGGGAGGCAGGAGGGTAGTGAGGGAGGGTCAGGAGGCAGGAGGGTAGTGAGGAGGGTCAGGAGGCAGGAGGGTAGTGAGGAGGGTCAGGAGGCGGGAGGTAGTGAGGTCAGGAGGCAGGAGGTCAGGGGGAGGCAGGAGTGAGGGTCAGGGGAGGCAGGAGGGTAGTGGGAGGTCAGGGGGCAGGGGGTAGTGAGGAGGGTCAGGAGGCAGGAGGGTAGTGGGGAGGTCAGGGGAGGCAGGAGGGGTAGTGAGGAGGAGGAGGTCAGGAGGCAGGAGGTGAGTGAGGAGGTCAGGGAGGCAGGAGGGGTAGTGTGAGGAGGAGGTCAGGAGGCAGGAGGGTGGTGAGGAGCCAGAGGAGGCAGGAGGAGGAGGGTCAGGGGAGGCGGGGAGGGTAGTGAGGAGGAGGTCAGGGGGCAGGAGGGTAGTGAGAGGAGGTCAGGGGAGGCAGGAGGGTAGTGAGGTCAGGAGGCAGGAGGGTAGTGAGGAGGTCAGGAGGCAGGAGGGTAGTGAGGAGGTCAGGGGAGGCAGAGGTGGTGAGGAGGTCAGGAGCAGGAGGGTAGTGAGGAGGTCAGGAGGCAGGAGGTAGTGAGGAGGGTCAGGGGCAGGGGAGGGTGGTGAGGTCAGGGAGCAGGAGGTAGTGTGAGGAGGTCAGAGCAGGAGGGTAGTGAGGAGGTCAGGAGGCAGGAGGGTGAGTGAGGAGGTCAGGAGGTGGTGAGGTCAGGAGGTGGTGAGGTCAGGAGGTAGTGAGGAGGTCAGGAGGGTGGTGAGGGAGGTCAGGGGAGGCAGGAGGGTGGTGAGGGAGGTCAGGAGGCAGGAGGTAGTGAGGAGGGTCAGGAGGCAGGAGGAGGTCAGGGCAGGAGGAGGAGGTCAGGAGGCAGGAGGTAGTGAGGAGGAGGTCAGGGGAGGCAGGAGGAGTAGTGAGGAGGATCAGGGAGGCAGGAGGTGTAGTGAGAAGGGTCCAGGGAGGCAGGAGGGTAGTGAGGAGGGTCAGGGGAGCAGGAGGTAGTGAGGAGGTCAGGAGGCAGGAGGGTAGGAGGTCAGGAGGCAGGAGTAGTGAGGAGGTCAGGGAGGCAGGAGGGTAGTGAGGAGGTCAGGAGGGGAGTGTGAGGAGGAGGGTCAGGGGAGGCAGGAGGAGGTAGTGAGGGTCCAGAGGCAGGAGGTAGTGAGGAGGTCGGGGAGGCAGGAGTGGTGAGGAGGTCAGGAGGCAGGAGGAGGTAGTGAGGTCAGGGAGGCAGGAGGAGTAGTGAGGTCAGGAGGCAGGAGGTCAGAGGCAGGAGGTCAGAGTGGGAGGAGGGTCAGGGGGGAGGAGGGAGGTGAGGAGGGTCAGGAGGCAGAGGGTAGTGAGGAGGGTCAGGAGGAGCAGGAGGGTAGTGAGGAGAGGTCAGGAGGCAGGAGGGTCAGGGGGGAGGCAGGAGGAGGTCAGGGAGGCAGGAGGGTGAGTGAGTCAGGGGGAGCAGGAGGAGGTGAGAGAGGGAGGCAGGAGGTAGTGAGGGTCCAGGGAGGCAGGAGGGTAGTGAGGAGGTCAGGAGGCAGGAGGAGGTGAGGAGGTCAGGAGGCAGGAGGTGGTGAAGGAGGAGGAGGTCAGGGAGGCAGGAGGAGGAGGAGGAGGAGGTCAGGAGGCAGGAGGGTGTGAGTGAGGAGGTCAGGAGACGAGGAGGGTAGTGAGGAGGTCAGGGGAGGCAGGAGGGTAGTGAGGAGGTCAGGGGAGGCAGGAGGGTGGTGAAGAGGTCAGGGGCAGGAGGTAGTGGAAGGGTCAGGGGAGGCAGGGTAGTGAGGAGGTCAGGGAACAGGGGAGGTGGTGAGGAGGTCAGGGGAGGCAGGAGGAGGTTAGGAAGCGGGAGGTAGTGAGGAGGAGGTCAGGGAGGCTGGAGGTCAGGAGGCTGGAGGTCAGGAGGCAGGAGGTCAGAGCAGGAGGGTCAGGGGGGCAGGAGGTCAGAGAGGAGGTCAGGGGGAGGCAGGAGGAGGTCAGGGGAGGCAGGAGGTCAGGAGGCAGGGAGGTAGTGAGGAGGTCAGGAGGCAGGAGGTGGTGAGGTCAGGAGGCAGGAGGTAGTGAGGAGGCAGGAGGGTAGTGAGGAGGGTCAGGGGAGGCCCCAGGATTGATGAAACACATTACTTTCTTAGTTTTCCTTACCACTACCAAGAGACAATTCACACCAGGCATTTCTTACCATTGTTTTTCACAACTTTTGAGCGCTGCTTCTGTTTGTCTAGAGGATGACCTCTTACTTTGACTTGCACGTAAGGATCAACAATGTCACCCTTCTTAACTGAGTTAGGCAGGTGCTGCCCACTCAACACTGTCACTCGCACTATTTTCGTGTACCTGCAAAAATTTTATAGTACTGTACAGTGCTTCAAACAACAGACAAATATACCATACTATTATTTTTGTAGCGCCCTTCAGCTAATGTATTTGAACTTTAATATACAAATTGCAGAAATTCTACATTCTTCAAACACCAAATAATGTAATATACTGTACAATTAAGCAATCATGTTTTCAATTGCAGTATTCTGGAAGTTACAAGTCCATAAAATATAACCAAAGATGCCTCTATTTACACAGCTTACCTGTCTGAAAGTTCCGTTGGACTATAGGGTTCTTTTTTAAGAAGAATATCTGGTTTCAGAACATAGCCACATTTGCCATTAGTAGAAAAGACTGCATCATTGTAAAAGTTGGCCTTATCTTCTGTTTGCATATTCAATGCCACTATGGAAAAAATAAATATTAAAAGATTTTAAATATATTCTTTCATCCCATTATCAACAGTATCATCAAATAAATAGATTAAAAGAAATCGAATATATTCTTTAATCTTATTATGAACAATATAATTCGGAAAGATTTGCGGACAATGTCTCAAATTTTTCGAGAGGTTTTCATTCAACATTAACATGCCAGTCAGTCACACAACCGTAAGAATATATTTAACCCAGAAACATGTAGGTTCTATTGGCTATGTGTACTGACTGCATGATGACCCCTCAATACTGCATCACAACATCTTCCTCTGGTCACACTTACACATATTACAGTACTGTACTTTTATAAGAATGAGGAAATTCACGTCTGATTCAAGTTGTTTATCAATCCCGGATAAGCCAGCAACCCCCCCTAGTGAGTTAGTGAAAGGAACATTAATAAAATGACAACAAATCTAAAGAATTAGGACTTCCATACAGCTAATGATATGATCTATTACATCAACACTCCAGACATTATCACTCCACTCGGCTACAGTCCCCCGCCCACCTACCGTAGTCCGCCACTACAACAAAACTCACCCCATAAGAGCCCGCACTGAGACATAAGAATGGCTACTCTATTTATTTTGGTATAGAGAGGTAATACTATAAACAATTCTCAACACACAAAGAATTAACTTCTTTTCAGTTTGTTATACACAAGTAAGTTTTTTAAATTCATAAACTATTCTCCATTTACTCTTGGCAATCATTCACTAATTGTGCCATGCTATAAATTAAGACAAAGTCACCAACAGCAAATATCCATTATGAACACAACAAAACCTTATATAATCTCCGAAATACTGTACTAACCTATTTGACATCCTACGCTCCAGAATGGGTAAGGTTTTAGATTAGACGAATCCGCCCGGGTGCCAAGGGGGTAAATCTTGGTAACATTTCTCTCTGTAAATTTTATAAAGTCATCAGGGCTGCTCTCAAATAAACCTTTCGCCTTTGTCTCTCCTATTGATGGGGTGTGAACACACTTATCTGAAAATAGATAAAACAATATGAAAAATCAATAAAATTAGTATGCTTTAGCATGGAATGATTAAGTGGCAAGAGTGTATGTGAGAAAGGCAAACAGGAAAACCAACACAGTACAGACATCCCTTACTATATGAATGGGTTGTGAAGTTCACTGAAAACCATTCCTGAAGCAAATACAGTACAGTATTTGTATATCAAATAACATAAAATATGGGAAAAATAAGGTTCGGTTCCCACCGATAAGAAAACTCCAAAATAAAAAAATATAAAAAATAAAAAATGGTGAAAACTTTAATTTAATAACTAACTACTGTAATTTATTAATTAGCACATTAAAAAATTTATAAAATATAAATTTGGTACATTACCCTAAGTGATGACCATACAGTGATCCCTCGGTTAACGAGCGCCTCGGTTAATGAATTACCTTCCATTTAACAAGCAAACCCTCGGTTAACGAATTTTTCCCAACATGTTTTCTCCTGCATTTGGCTACCCACCAGCTGTAGTATTAGTCCGCCAAAACAGTAATCGGGTTTTAGGGCTTAAATTCCTTACCATTTTAGTAAATATCAAGAAGGTTGTACTATTCAATAATTTTAAAAGTTTTATATTAAATTTTTTAGTCATTTTAACAATTATTGAACATAATTGAAGTATAGGAAGCTAGTTTTTTGCGCGCCAAACAGCCTGTCAACACACCATACAGGCGTCAGTCTCTGTCTCTTTTCAGTGGAGGTAACATCTTGCTTGAGACTCTCTTCAACTAAATGCTTTTTTTCCTGCGTTTCCAAGCAAATTATTGGTAATTTTGAAATATATTATACATATTGACAATATATAATGCAGTGCAATGTTGATTTAAAGAAAATAATCTTGAATTACACCAAGTGAACTAAAATTTTATGGGTGAAATGGCGGCATGGGGTGACTTCTCTTCCACCCCAATGCCTTCTCTTCTCCCTTCTCCTTCACCCCCATTCTAATTCCCATCATCATCAACCAGGAGCCTTCTACATGCACACCTCAAAGTAAGTGTACTTTACTGCATTTATTTTTAGTTTGTATGTAATTTTCGGTGAGCTGGAACCAATTACCCAAAAACCCATTGAAGCAATGGTTTCGGTTAACGAGCAACCTTCTGGAACGAATTGTGCTCGTTAACCGAGGGACCACTGTATTCATACTGTATAAGTAGGATTAGCTTTTGTATTTAAGAAAGAGGTGTAAGAATAGAATACAGTATTTGTTTAAGTGAATATTGGTAGAGTGAATGTTTGTACAGTGAAGGACAACATTAAGATGACTGGAACTGCCACAGGGAAATAAAGATGTGGAAAAGATCATGTTATAGACACACACACTTTTACTAGTGGCCACTATACAGTATAATCAATCTCCCAACACCGATGAAAAAACAAACAAAACAACGGAGGCAGTCCCAGACTTATGAGAGGGATACGTTCCTGGACCCTGATCGTAAGTCGATTTGTTGGCAAGTCAAAATAGTGTTAATTCCATAGGATAGGTTAGGTTAAATCACAACGCTGCCCATACAAAACAAATAATATACCCTATTTTATGGCATATAAGATGCACCCCCATTTCAGCAGGGAGTATTCATTAAAGATAATTTGTATATTTTCCTTCTATAGCCATAGTTTTCTTAAAATAATAATACAGTACCTGTACCTGTACCAGTAAATGTGAGGAATATATAAAAATAATACCAATAAATAAGTTACAAAAAAAATACTAATACTATTACCAATCCAGTAAATAAAAAGCCAAATGAAGGTTTAACACAATCGCCATTTGCATACACTCCCTGGTTCACCATAGCAACGCAGACCAGCAGGGACGCTACCTCCGCCGACTCCCTAGCAACGATCCCCCCCACACACCACGCCCTCCTCCCGCTCCCTCACTGAGCCAGCTAACTAGTGTGCAAAGAAATGTATATTCTATATTCCCTTTATGTGTTTGCCCTTAGGACAAATACAGAGTATTTCTTTTGCCTTTTTTCACAATATGTATGTAGGATGGCGTGTTCAGTTACCCGAGTAAGAATAAATGAAGAAAGTTACTTATATCTACCCGAGAATACAAAATGAAAAACAACCTTAACACCTCACAGCTTGGCCCAGTAGCCTTGTGGTCACAGTGACAAGTCTAACTTGGCTACAATGCCACCAGCAATGTTAACAGATGCAAATGTGAAAAAAAAAGTTATCTATAAATCTTCATTTGTGTCAAGTATTTATAGATTTAAAGTGGCATATACTGTACAGTACTGTTCGTGAAGGAGGTTCTGCTCTTGATGCAACAACATAAAGAAAGACTCTAGGGGTATGGCAGGTAAGGCCAGGATGAAGGAGCGTGGTAGGTCTACCTGGTAGTTATCATTCACTGTTAATGATCCATGGAAATACACCACTTCTAAACCCTCAAAAATACTAGTTGTATATTGTTCAACCCTCCTACTCGAACTACACTCGAGTCCAAAATGCTCTGATATCCGAGTCTATTTCATTATATTTATGGTAGCTAATATACTGAATATGGCATATACAGTACAGGGCGTCCTCACTTAACGTCGGGTTACGTTCCTGAAACCTCGACGTTATACGAAAAACGTTAAGCGGATCAATTTTCCCCATAAGAAATCGATAAAATATGGGAGTTACGTTCCCCAGCCTCCCTTTGACCCGTGAAATACATTACATATACAGAAAATCAATGGCATTTCTATAGAAAATAGTTTATAGAACTACAGTACTAAGTTTGTATTGGTACTCGCTGTTACGAGCGAGAGTTCAATAGTTGGTTGCAGATTCGCAACGTGAACGTCTTTTGTTTGTGACATAATTTTCGCCCACCTCTGCTCACTCAGTTTTACCTCCCAAGAGCCAGGTGATGGCAGTATTGGGCTGGCAATCGTAAGTTAAGTATCTCCTTTCCTATTGCACAGTATATTTCTAGTGGTATAATGTGTGAACCTTGCTCGACTTTTAGAACACCAATTATTATATGTGAGATTGTTGTTAGTCATATTTTAGAATTCCACAGAAAATAACTTACTTATTTATGGCGAGTCACTGAGACTCTGCGGCTGCCTCCTCCTCTGACTGGGGTTTCTCCGCCGCTGTTTGCTCCTCCTCCGTGGTTGGAAGGAATGTCTCGGCAACAACCTTATCTGAACTGGCAGATTCACCAGTCATCTCTATGTTGTGGAAGTTATACCCAGTCATCTCTATGTTGTGGAAGTTATACCAACGCTTAAATCGTTGAAACCATCCTCAGCCGGCCGTGAAGGTCTCTTCCATCGATCCTTCACCCTCTTCTGCCTGTAAGTAGTCAAACAAGGATCTGGTCTTATGCTGGATAACCATAAGGCTCACAGGCGCAGTGCGTTGATTTTGGTCCTCCATCCACATTGCCAGCATCTTTTCCACCTTCTCTATCACAGTGCTTCTAGTACGAGTCATCTTAGTTGCACTCAGAAAACAACCACTTCCAGCACTAACCTTAATCTTGTCAGCGTTGGTCCGGATAGTACGCACCGTTGTGGGGGTTAGACCAAGCACAGTGGCTATGTCCACGGCACGTTCCCCTTTTTCAAATCGGGCTAATACATCCAATTTTGTAACCAGGGTAATGGTCTTACGTTGCCTCTTCACTTCACTAGCATCAGTAGCACTTGATGGGTGCTTGGAAGCCATTTTGAATGGTTATAGTACAGTTTTAGAGCAAAAGCACTTCAACACACAAATGATGTGAAGTCATAACAGAGACTGGCTCGGCGTCGCTTGGGGACGCTGTGACGTTCCGCGAGTGAGGGCAGTGCGCCGAGCCGAGAGCGCGTAGAGTGGCCAGACAAGAGCGGGTGATGCGCCGTAGAAAGTAGTCCGTGCTGACGCAAAACGACGTAGTATCGGATCACCGGGACGTTGAACTAATTTTTGGTCTCTAAAGTTTAGCGACATAGTACCGAAACAACATTAAGCGGGACGACCTTAAGCGAGGACTTACCATTTCATAATTTTTACTCGGGTAAGTATGTACAGTATGTGTAATGAATAAAGGTAAGACACAGGCTGTTTAGCACCTCAAAGTCAGGCATCATGGCGATGCTAAACAGACAGTAGTGATTGCTTACCTTTCTGGGTCTTTAGTGTACAATACTGTACATCTTATTATATATTTTATACCCAAAATGATTAAATTATATTTCATAAAACTACCTGCAAAATATACAGTATGTATCCATATGCTGTAAATGAAATATATATGAATTTTGTGCATAGACTTGGGCCCCATCCCTGCTGGGTGAAGTATCCATTATGCAGGTTCTGTATACAGGATATAGGTACTGTATTCCAAAATCTGAAAATATCCCAAATCCGAGACCCTAAAGGCCCCAAGCATTTTGGATAAAGGATACCCAACCTGTATACAATACATAAGCCTCATAACATAATGTATCAGTGTTGCTATAAAATATAAGGTACTGGTACTAGGAAATACATACAGGAAACATAAAACAAAACATAAGAAAAACTGGTGGTGGACCACAGGTGCTGCCAGACCAGGGAGGAGAGGTCTGACCAGTACCAACATCCTGACTAGATTCTCAACAGAACTTTCCATCAGTCCTGGAGACATTTTGCTATAAAATACACAATAAAATATTCAAATGTTTACTTACAAGTTTCAAAGGCATCAAGAAAAGTTGTAAATTTCTTTCCCTCACAAACATTGACTACTTCTCTTAACTCTGGGGCGAGAGGTTTGTGTGGCTTCTGCAAGTGAAAATAAATGGAATGAGCACAATGAATAAAACTTAACTGTAGCGAAATATTTTTTTATTTTTAATTAAATCAGGACAAATAATACAATTCTATTCTAAGTTTATTTGTCGTTTTATAAAATTTCCAAAATTTAAACTTATCCTAATACAGCGGTCCCTCAGTTAACGAATTACCTTCCATAAGAATCTTCAATTCGGTTAACAAACAAAAATTTGATTAACGAAACCCTTACGAACATCACGTTTTGTTGTGAGCATCAGCTGATGGGCTAGTCTGCCAATTCAGTAATTCAGTAATCTGTTCTATGTTTACATTTGTTTCCAGTGGAGTAAATATCAAGAAAATTGTGCTCTTTAATATTTGTGCATTTTTCATATTAAAATTATTGGTCATTCTAATATTTAGCCATCCAAGCTCTGTCTACATAAAGTTTTCAACTATTTTTGGCTCGATATATGTAACTTTATTCATTTATTGAAACTCATTTACATGCACACACTGTCCTAAGGACAAAACTGAACTGTACATGTAATCAAAATAATGTACAAAATGATTACTAAAATTTTAGTTCAGTGCAAACTATGGCATGTTTACATTCAAATTAATCACTATCTTATAAGAATTCCAGCAATGTAAAATATATTCACCCAGGACATTTCACTGGCATTTTATAAGAGAGAAGCTTAGTCTCTTAAGAACTGATAAATAAACACACGTGAGACCTTGGGCTCCAACTGTCAAACATATCACCTCACCTCCCTCTGCCCAGCCAGGGTTTTAGGCTTACAGTTTTTATCTTATATAATATCTCAGACTAAAGTTAGATTATAATTTGCATTGCTGGAATCCTTCCAAGACAGCGAATAATTTGAATATAAACGTCATATATTTTGCATAAGACAAAAATTAATCACCTGTATCACATTACAGTAGTGACTTAAGAGTTCTAGTGTATATGTACGATATATATAGTGATTTAAGGGCGATTTAGGGGAATTTTAGGAGTGTTTCTGACTTTTTACATTTTTGGCTTTACTTTGTATATACTTTTCTGTGAGCTGGAACCAATTACCCAATATCCCATTGAAACAATGGTTTCAGTTAACGAACGACTCTGTGGAACGAATTGTGTTCGTTAACCGAGGGACCACTGTACTAACATAACTAAGCTTCACATAAGGTACAGTACTGAGAACAAAATTTGATAGTGATGGTTTTATTTATTAATAAAACATTTATATTAATAATGGGATTAATGCAAAGGAAGTCTTCAAATTTCTTGTTCTCAATTATATTCAAAATTCCTGACAGACTAATGCAATAATTTGGCCTTTTTTCTATTTTTTTTTGTGAACTACATTAGGTGCTGTACAGTATTGTGTAAGCAACCTGAGTCTCAACCTTTTATCTGTAAGAGGAACACTCAAGTAAAAAAGATGGGCAACACACAAACATACTTATGCCGTACAATACTGTATACACATTATGTTTCTAAACACACACACACACGTTAATAAACAATTTAAGTTACATTTTGCTCTCAATAAAAAATTAAGTAGTATACATACAAAGACTCTGCTTGATGGTGTGTTCACGTACACTAAGAATGTCACAAACTAAATCAACTAATGTCCCCTGTTGTCCTGGGAGGGGTACAGTACAGTAATGGTGCCACCAAACTTCACAACCACATAAATTATCACAACTGCCACAAGTGAAACAACTGCACGAACCCACGTTGTTGTTGTTGTTGTTGTTGTTGTCACGGCTGTGAAACAATCACAAACGAAGGTCGAGAAGTGAGAAATTCATTGGGCAGTTGGGCCCTCCAACTCGTGTTGCCTTTATGTACAATATGTTACAATAATAGACACAGTGAACAATGATTTTAGATCTTTACAGTGATAAATCTTGAGTAACTTGCTTAATTACAGGAGACCATTTGTGACTTTTTCACACATGGAATGTAAAAAAGTAGTGTTGGACAATCTGATAAATAAAAACCTATTGTTTTCCCCAATAAAAAGCCATAATTTGGGACAAAACATTATTGTACTTTAATGTCTTTTTTGGTCTAGTGCAAACAATGGCATGTTTATGCTCAAATTAATCATATCTTGCAAGGATTCCAGCAATGCAAGTTATATTCTGCTAAGTCAAGCCTGTGACAATTTTAAGAGAAAAACTTTAATTCCCTGTCTTGTATAATCCTGAGTCCCTGACCTGCACCACCCCTCCCCCTCCACTGACAACTAATCTCTCTTGCTGGCTGTGAACACCCCACCTCCCTCCTCCCAGCCAGCAGGGGAGGCGAGATGGCGGTGATCAGGATTTTACAGGATGAATTTGTTTTAGGCTTAATGTTTTCTCTTATGAAATGTCACAAACTTAACAGAATATAACTTGCATTGCTGGAATCCTTGCAAGATGTGATTAATTTGAGTATAAACATCCTATAGTTTGCACAAGAGATAAAAATTTTAGTCCGTTATCTTAGTACATTCAAGTACAAGTTGTACACTAAAGTAGAGTACATAATATGTTGCTAAAAAATTTGGCATTTTCACTGGGAAAAATCATAGGAAGATAAGTTGAAAAGTTCACACAGGTTACAGCATTAATCCAAGTTTAAAGTTAAACCATACAACCGCACAGTTGAGACTTCCTGACAACTGCAGAGCTTTGAAATCTGACAACCACGACATCACTACAGTACAGTACAGTACAGTACAGTACATGCTCTTCATTTTTGAGTCCAGGAGTTGGTGAATAAGATAACTTGAACAAACAGGAATTAATTCTAACCAAACTTGTTTGTGGATACTGTACAGTATATCACAAGATCTCTGACAAGTTTCATAATTCATTACTGTCACGAATTATGGACCTACTGACTTTGTTGTACAGTAATTCCTTGTTTAATGCAGTAGATGCACACCTGAAAAAGACCGTTTTAAGTAAAAATTTATCTAGCGAATGTAATATTATCCTCATAAGATATGAAGTAAAAGCTGGAGGTTCAAGCCTGAACCTTTTATAGTCTACGCTCATAATAAACAACAGAAAATGAGTCTGACTGGCCTCTCTCACTCACTTCTTAAATGCATATCAGTATAAATGGCATTAAAATATAATTATGTAAATACAGGTACTGCAGTATTGTTGCATGCATCCATCTTCTGACATTGTAAGATAAAATATTGTAAATATAAAAAAGAATTTCATTCTTTATTCTTCAGTAACGCTGGTCAGGATTGCATGGGAACATCAGCCTCATTGATCACTTTCCTGTTAAGAGGATTATACCTCCACTTAAAATACTGCAACCATCCATGGCTCGTTTAATTTCACTTGTTTTGGTTCACTGTTCTTCAGATGTCTATGTACACTTCTGTCTCTTAGCCACAGGTTTACTTTTGCCACTAACAAACTCAATTCTCACTTACTTTGGTGTACGTATATATAGAGTTGCACTAGAGTTGATCACAAGAATAACTTACTAGAGGGTACGACCATGATATAGTGACAAAAATGGTGAGCTGTTTGAGGAGTGTCCCTAACTACAGAAACTGCTTAATAATGAAAGATGGTGAGTGAATGTGCATTGAAAGGGGAATTACTGTACAGTAGGGTCGGGATACATCGCGACTTTATATAAAAAAAAAAATTATATTGCGGCTGCCAAAATTATTGAAATTTTCTTGTATATAGCAATAATTTTTTTTTATTTCGCGAGGGAAATCGTGCAGGAAATATTTTGAATGTACCGCCATGGCAAACAAATGCGTTATTTGCTCACCAGAGGCGCCACCGTGGCTGCTCACTCACGCATTCACACTCGCCCGCTCAGTCTTTCTGAGAGACGAGTAAGCAGCCGACTCTGCTGCATATTACGACCTCTAAGGTGAGTGTAAATGGGTTGTTAGTGACGTGAAAAGTAAAGTGAAGATAATGGAAAGATTTAATACTGTAACTAATATTTTTGGTTTGTTGGTTTATGTAGGTGTGGGATTGTCAAGTGAGGGTGGCAGTGTGGCATCAGCTGCCGAGTCTGGTGTTCCTTGATACTGATATTGACATTGAAATATCCTGTTCTTCCAGAGTCTAGTGTTCAGTGGTGCTTTACTTAGTAAGAAAATGAACTCGTTAAGTCAAGTTTAGTCACTTTTTTGGGCTTCCAGAACCTAACCCTATCTTCCCCATGGACTACATGTACAGTCTCTCCTCGACTTGCGACAACCCGGACAAACGACGGCCGTGGTCGTATAAAATATTTTTCACATTACGTATTTTTGAGTCCCGACATTAGTGATCGCGCTGTGTAATGACAAAAATTTTTTTTGCAATTCCCTTTAAAATGGCTGGCAAGCACAAAAGTGAGAGTTCTCGTGGTGCTGAGAAGAAAAAGAGACACCCATTTTAGAATTTCTATGTATTATTTTCGCCTTTTCGACTTACGACCTGGTCGTCGGGACGGAACCCCGTCGTAAGTCGAGGAGAGACTGTAATTATGTATCGCAATTTAGTATACTGTATAGCGAACATCGTTGGACCCAATCTCGCGATATATCCCGACCCTAGTGCACATTGTTTACATGTTCTTGCATGCGAGCCACTTTTTTTTTTTTATGGATTAGCCCACCTGTGTACAGGTCACTGATACACATTGGGGCCTGGGAGGCAAAAATAGAATATAAATCTGCCGAGTTTGTATTAATATTACTTTGAATACCTTGATTAAGAAACATCAATAAGTCTATGATACCAATGAATACAACCATTGTCTCTTGTATTGGTTCAGGAGATAAAAATACTCAGATATATAATCAAGTGTAAGTAGTGATTAAAATATCCATTAACTTATCTAAAATGTCACTTCAAATAATAATTCATTTTATCTACAGTAGTTGTATCTAACAACAACTACTGTGGGAACAATACAGTAAAAACCCCACAAGTACAATAATCCCAATACTGTACAGTAAAATCTC